AGAGGTGCTAGGTCCGACTGGGGCTCAGTGGATGAACCCCAAATGCCTCACCCTATCCCCTCTACAAACGCTAGCTAACCAATATTAACCTCCTTCTTCCTGACCAAAGGCTGGAGATGAGTAGCCTGATGGGCTCTGGCCTTGGGACTCCTGCCTGGGCAACCTCAAGTAAAGTAAAACGGGATTCCTGGAGTTGCCATACTAGGCTGAGAAGGGCAACCGGTACCGTGAGTGCTCACTGAAGGCCAGGATTTCAGTTGGGAGCACACTAAGAATCACACTAGACACAGGGTAGACTGGGACCCCAGGGCCACTTCCAATTAGTCCCCTTCCACAAGGTATTTGACCTGCAACATGACAACTTGGGAGCTGTGGAATAACATATAGAATTCCACAGAAGCATGATGAACTGTGAGAATCATCATTAGGATCTTTTGCTTGAGGTGTGATTATCACCTTGATCAGTTCCCCAAGATCTGTATATCTGGAAACAGATGTCTCAAACATGGTGCTTCTAAATTAATTCAGCCACTCAAGCCACAGTTGGGAACCATGACTTGGATGTCCATTCACTAGTCTGGTGTGGTCCCTTGATTGACAGCATCAAATTCCTAGGGTCAGGCTGGGTGTGGTGGTGCACACCTGTGGTCCCAGCTACTTGGAGGCTGACAGAGGAGGATCACTTGAGCCCAGCAGGTCCAGGCTGCGGTGAGCAGTAATTGTGCCACTGTGTGACTGAAAATTCCTAGGGTCCACCCTAAACTTTGAGTCAGCAACTCTGGAGGCTGGGCCGGCAATCACAGCCCTGATAAGCCCTCCAGGAGATGGAGATGCACTGGCCCCCACCCTTACATGTTAGTTAGACCGTCCCCCAGATCCCCCCATCCATCTGACCTGCAGAAGAAAAGGGACATCAGACACTTATAGAGAAATACTGATTTTAATTAAACATAAGGTAAACTCTAGGTATCCGTCATCTTTCAGCCTAAAAATTAGCAAAAACTGTTGAAACAAGGCACAGTTTTTCCCCCATATTTGTTACGTTGTGGCTCCAGTTACAAAAAAATTTTAATGAAGACGTTAAACATAAAAATAGAAGTTTGAGATTTTAAAAAAAGTGTATAAAAAGCCCCACAAAACTTGTCAACGTTGTTCCTTACCCTACAAAATAGCACCAGTAAGAAGAGTAAAAGCTGTTAAAAACCATTATGACAGCATTTCTGAAATGCAGCTTCTCTGAACTCCCATTCCCCCTAAAAACGACTTATCGTGGACCAAAAAAAAAGTTTTAAATCTCCAGAGGGAGAACTGAGCTTTTATTGCTGTTTTCCCTGTCATCTCTTAGATGAGGGAAAGGTGTGAGAAGTGTGCGTCTGTCCTTGACTGTTGTCACTGCATCTGAGTTTAGTAAAAAGATGAGGAATGAAGGTAGCAGACTTCTAATCTGGGGACCTGTGCCAGTGGAGGGTAGGTCTCTTGGAGAGGGGATGGGTTTGAGGGAATGTCTTATCTTATCTAAGCTCCTTCCTTCACACTCCTCTCCTAGGGAAGAGGAAAGCATGGAGGAGCCGTAGTTGTCTACATAATATGTGGCAGCTTAAATTATAGAACTCAGCACACCCCTTCCTGAGCTCCCCAGAGGGTTCTATTGCAGTCACTGGGAGGGATTTAGCTAAGAGTGGTCCCTGCCCTTGGGTTTGTGGGGGAAAAAATAGCCCTGAATGTGATGATGACATCATCCCTGCTGAAATCATCATCATTATGGACAATACTCTAATGGGTCCCGTGCAGACTCCAGACCTTGTATTTAGGCAAGGGGAATGTGCCGGGTAAAAGACATATACAACATTTCCTCTTCTGCTTGCCCTGATAAAAACCATCCTGGACCCTTAAAAATGTCCTGTAGTTACATGCCTACAACTGCACACATCTGGCAACAGAGCAGCAGCCAGTTTTCAGAAATTAAAGTCTTGCAACAACTGTCTTGGGTGATTTTTCAGCATTAACCTGAGTATTGGAGAGCTGTCGGCCATGTAGTTTTGGTATCTCAGCCATTGTTTCTCTGAGTGGTAGACCCAGGAAGGAAGGAAAAAGCCACGCTGCTACCTACTTCAAGTTTTAAAGTTTTAAGAGAAGGAAAAAATGAGCACCGTGTTTGGCTGCTCCAAGCAGCCAGGTCTGAATTGTGCACCAGGAGGCAGCACCTCGGGCTCCCCCTGCAAGAGAGTCAGGTGGCTCTGCCCCCACTGAGCAGGAGGGAACTGAGGTACATGCTATGGCCCACACAGCTGAGGAAGAGCAGGGCCTGGGGATGCTTTCAGGAATCACATCTCCTGGGTCCTGGCTCTGCCACACACCCCAGTGGCTTTGGGGCCTGGCTGGAACTATTCACATGCAAAGTAGTCCTTCAGAGGGGCGAAGAGGTGTCGGATGACAGGCACACTCCAGGACCTTCCCAGCAGCTTCTGGCGGGCGCCACGGCCCATGTTGGAAACATCTGTGTAGTGCACAGGAAAGCCAAAGATCCTGAGGGTGCCAGGGTGAAAAGACAGCGAGTCAGAAGTGCCCCTAGCATGCTGACAGCCTCTGGGGAACCCTCGCCTCAACCAGCCAGGTCCCACTCTTCCTGCCCTCGCCATCCCTCAGTCCCATCAGTTAGGTCCCTGGGACCTAAATTCAGAGCCCTTAACTCAGAACACTTGCTCACAAATGGCTCATAAATAAAAATCCCCCATTTTGTGTAGGCCTAGCACCATACTGTTGGCACAGAGTTGGTGCTCAGAGGACCTTCCTTGAATAAATGTGTGCATACCAAATCAGCCAGCCAGCAATGTGTCTTCAAACTCCTACAATGGGAGAAGTTCAGCAATTTCCTTCGTAAGGAACAAGGTCACTCAAAAACAGCCTAGATTTTCAATCATCACAGTCTCAGGCAATCAGAATTTTCCTTCCTTCTTCAAGGCCAAATGCTGAATGAAGGACCAAGCTGGATAACTTCAGGCAGATGGCATCGAATATAATAAAAGCTTCCTCTATAGGATTCTACCAGGCCTGGAAAGAGGCTTCAGAGGCTGAACCTCAGCGTTACTCAGGTATACAATCCAGTAACAACAATTCATCCCAACAGGCCACTGACTGCGTGGGTACTCAGAAGCATGTCAAAGGTGTGATACCTCAGGCCTGCATCTTGCTCAGCCTTAGCGTCTACACAGTGACAGCCATCTGCACCAACCATTTTAGGTTTGGGTCCATACACAATAATCTACAGCATAAATACGATTCAGAAGCTACTTTTATACTCAGAAAAGTCAAGAGAAGCAATTAAACCAGTTGTGGAAGTGAAATATCTGGAATGAAAATACTCTGTATCAAAGCCTTCCAAATACAGAATAGTTGAAAAGAGGAATGTTCAGAGCCCGAATTACATTATTATACCAAGTAATGATTTTTAAAAAATAGTATAAGCAAAAGAAACAAACAGAGGAGGGAAAGAAAAAGGACAGAACAGAACTGAAATCCAAGAGAGGGTTATTTGCATCAAAATAGACAAACTTAGCCAAAGAAAGGAAAGGAGAGGACAAACTGTGGCTAAGAAGGAATCATTTATAGCATGAGCAAAGTCTTCAAGAATGGCATGTCTGTGGGGTTTTCTTTCACTGGCTTCTCACGCATCCTCATGTCCCAGCGTGTTGGGACAGGCAGGTATCAGGGCAGTGCAGCCAACAGACAGATGCTGCAGCCTCATGACCTCCTAGCTCAGATACCTCACCACCACCACACCCCCTGCTCCATTTTTGTCAGGAAGTAAGGGCGAACTAGGACAAGGTATTATGACTCCTAGCTCCACTAATACTGAAGGGCGGTGAGACCATCAAGAGTTAAGATAAACACCTGCCCATGTCTGCCCGTTTCTGTTTCTACCTGCATGGTTTCCCTCGCCAAGTGCAGCCGTGCTCACCTTTCGAGCTCAGTGCACCACAAAACATCTTCTTTGCCATTCATGACAACAGGGAAAAGTTGGTTTTTCCCCTGTTTGATTGAGTTCGACTTGGTGGTTATTGTCTGTACTTTCTTTAACTGGAGAACAAAACGACATCACGGAGTGAGCGCAGAATGAAGGGATCTGGGTACAGTCAAGGCTCAAAAGTACCTGGTATGGAGGGAAGAGGTCAGGCGCGGCAGAGGAGTGGCTGGGCTGGGCGAGAAAAGTGCCTGGGAAAGATGGAGGGGTGAGCGCAGGCGAAGCAGGAGTGGCAGGGCTGGGAGAGAAAAGTGCCCGGGAAAGATGGAGGGGCGAGCGCAGGCATGGCAGAGGAGTGGCAGGGCTGGGAGTGAAAAGCAGAGTTGAAAAAACAAGAACGTTTTGTGCTTCCCACAAATGCCAAGAAGTTAACAGGAAGGATCAGCCTCAGAAAAAAATGAGATAAAAAAGTGACCATGAATGAGATCACATGGGGGACCAAGAGGACACCAGAGTTCCTGATCAAGCAAGATTAAGTAAAAACCACCCAGCTACAGAGAATGCTCAACCAGAGTCTAGATAAATGGATCTTTGCTTTATGCAAAGATGGAGATTTAGGTTTATAGAGGTCTTCATAAAATTAATTTTTTGGCAAAAGGATTAATTATTCCTTTCTCCCTGGGAGGGCCAGCTGAAATTCCGTGTCTTTATGTAACCAGTATTAATATTAGACAGACTAGTTGCCTTTTCTCATAGTGATTACTTATCAGGAATGTCTCCTGGTCTCTGTATTTGAGGATGGGACAGAACAATCATGTGGGAGAAAGAAGCCCAACACCAGGAAGTCACACGTGTGTGGGGGTGGGGGGGCAGTAGGGACCAATCAGACACCAAGGTCATCTCCCAAGTCCCCACTTGGAGGACACCAAGTGCATTTTTCCACAGGGCCACAGCTCATCTTACCTTGGCTATCCTATTGTATTCCAAGCAGTCCTGCAGCTCGAGTTTATCATTCTTTGATGCTATCACCGGCCTGGGAACAGCCAAAACCCATTACTTTTTACTAGCTGTAGAGGGTCCTCTGCTAGGCACAAGGTGGGAGTGAGGGCCTGTGTTGCAGAGATGTCCCCTGGCAGTGCACCTGCTACATTAAATGATGAAACTGATTCTGGCATTGAGGACAGGCATGTGTGCCAAAGCCAGGGATGGGCTAGCCCCAAGAGGGGACAGTCCAGCATTCAGGGGGTAATGCTCCCCTACCAGGACTTCAAAGTCAGGTTCCCATTGAGCAAGAACACTACACAGGAGTGGGACAGGAGAAACCTCAGGTCCTCCCTCCACTGCTCACTGTCTGAGTGAGCTTGAGCAAGGCACACTACCCCTTTGAGCTTCCTGTCTATTGTAAAGTGATTTGGTTTAGATTTTTGTGGGTCTACCTGATACAATCACTACTACATCACACCCATGGTTTGGTGGCTCACTGCTGGGGATGCTGCCTCAGAAGGCTTTAAAAGTTAATGGCAACTGGCTGCAGCGGTTCCTACCAATAATCCCAGCACTTTGGGAGTTCAAAGCAGGAGGATCACTTAAGCCTAGGAGTTAGAGGCTGCAGTGAGTCATGATTACAACTCCGCTCTCCAGCCTGGGAGACAGACCCAGTATCTTAAGGCAAAAATAAAAACAGAAAAAAGCAGTAGATGGCATTTTCATTACAATGGACAGGAGGTGGGTCACAAAAGGACCAAGCACTCTTTTAAATTTCACCCTTGAAAACTATTTTGCAAATGCAGAGAGGCAAACAGATGACTAAGAAGGGCAAGGGATAGAACTGAAAGTAGCCGAGCAGCTCCAGAACAGAAACCAGAGCAAGAGCACGGAATTCAGGATGACCACAGTAACTCATGTTAGGGATGTCAAGGCCAAAAAACTCAAGACATGAGAATGGGAACCGTGCCCACAGAGGGGATGGGGAAATCACAAAACATATGTCCCTAGACTGATACATTTCCTTGACCTTACCTGCCAGGCTTCAAATGCCACCTCTATCACCATTCCTACCACCGTCATGGACCCAAGGGAGCTGAGAGACCAGAAGAAAAGGACACTGCACAGCCCCACCTTGTGCTGATTGCAGAATTAAGATCTAAATAAGCCAGATAACTTGGGTCTGTCCTCTACATGATGCTTGACACACCCATCCTATAAGCCTACATAGCTTAGTCACAGCATCGGACCTGCATCAGGTCTCACTGATCCTTCCGCCTCCTAACCCACACATTCAATGCTTCAGCAAATGTCCTACCCTCTAAATATCCTGACTCTGACCCCTCCTTGCTAAGTCACAGGACTGCAGTGCTGCAAACCCCAGGGGCCACCACTCACATTGTGTTCTCTGGGGATGGCACCTCCTGGGGCACCACATCATCATCAGTCATCTCTCCTTTGAGCCATCTAGTCACCTCATGTATCCCCATTCCTGCTTACATCCTGCTGTTGTCTATAATCCACCCAGAAACTGCCATGAATGTAGGACACAATTCATCTCATCTTTAACTTCCCAGGCCAAAGCGATTTCGGTGTTACCACATTAAGGCCTATGTTACTTGGCCCTTCTTTCCCAGCCACCCCACCTAGGTGTTCTGAGCTGGTCTGGGGATGTTTGCCATCATCCCAGACCCTCTTCCTTCTATCTGGAGTAGTCTAATAACTGCATGGCTCCATTCCTTCACTGCCGGCTCTGGCTAGAATAAGCCCTCCCATCAACCATGCAATGCCCATCCGCCAGCAATAAACCCCAAGCACTGTCTTCTCTCCCCTCCCCGATAAGCATCTCACTATCATGAAAGCCAAGATAGACATGATGTGTTTAACCTCAAAAATGGCAACAGCGTGACAGTGTCTGACAGACTGGGAGCTCAAATGTTGAAGGAATTAACCCATTTAATTCCAGACACTGGGATGGTACCCTAAGACTGGCTGCTTAGCCAAGTACACAGGCAAGGTAGCCAACAAAAATCTTGCAGGCTACCCCAGGACCCTGTCCTCTGTCCACACTTCACTAAGTGGCAGAAGGTCATTGTGTTCCCACACCTCATTCTACAGGAGAATGTTTTAAGCTTCACTCATTTGCAAGTCTGGAATATCACATTACCATCACATTTTACATCTTAATTAGCAAGTTCTTCTCCTTGAAACCACATATAGAGGAGATAATCCTCAACGAAGCTGCCTGCTTTGTGGCTTTCAGCGGGTCTGAAGACTGAACTGTCTTTAGTATATGATAAATGCTCCTGGTGACGAGAATCTGAGGGAGATGGTCTTCGGGCTATTGTTTGTCATAGCAGCTCTGCCACCTGGTTGGTCAACACAAGCCTGGCCAAGATCGCTTCATCTCTGGGGCAGGAAGAAAGGCACTGCTAACAACAATCTACTTCCATTTCCAGATGCTGTCCCTATGGCAATGGGGAGGAGAGGTGAAGGGCAGGAGTATCAATAAGCTCAAGTATTGAGAGATCCCTGGGAGGAAAGAGGTACACAGTCTGGCTACAGCACACGAGACTTGTATTTTTCTTAATTTTTTATCGAGACAGGGTCTCACTTTGTTGCCCAGGCTGGTCTAGAACTCCTGGGCTCAAGCGATCCTCTAGTCTCAGCCTCCCAAAGTGCTGGGATTACAGGCGTGAGCCACCACGCCCAGCCACCTGGGACTTTTAAGATCAGGTCCGTCGGCAGCTTGCAGCAGGTAGAGTAGAACTCCTACAGAGATTCTCAGGGACTTGCTGAACATCTTAACAGGGATCAACCCATAAGACCACAGGTGGTCTGAAACCCAGGGTATAGCCATTTCTCGGCAGAGCCAGCTCTGTCTCGAAAGGCGTGAATGTCAGTGCTGATATCACATATCACATATTTAACTTGGCTGCTACCTGACCCACTCAGAGCCCCTTGTTACCTGTTCATCCCAGGAAGGTTGCCCCAAAAATATCGGGCCCTGTGAGCAGCAGAAACTTTGATGGCATCAATCATCACTGGATTACACTGCAGGGAGAAAGAAGATTGATGTGAGTTCTGGTGTCAAGTGGAATGAAGTCTGACCTTTGAACTTTGCAGGTGATAGGGCTATTCCCCGACCATGAAAGAAGCATGAATCCTCCAAGACAGAGACAAGACCAACTGCCATCAGGAGGCTGTCTAGAGGACATGATATTACCCTTATACTGTGCCAATGGTGGGGAAGAGATAAGGTGAAACCTGCAGATTCTGAGAAAGTATCCCCTGGGACACGCCAGATATTACAAAATATGATACACAGTGGGCTCAAGTGATTCTCCAACCTCAGCCTCCCAAAATGCTAGCACTGCAGACATGAGCCACTGTGCCTGGTCTAAAGCAGTTTTCATATCAAAAATAAGAAAACTCTCCAGAGTAAAAAATTGAGTCCAGGCCGGGTGTGGTGGCTCACGTCTGTAATCCAAGCCTTTTGGAGGCCAAGGCAGGTGGATCACCTGAGGTTGGGGGTTCAAGACCAGCCTGACAAATATGGTGAAACCCCGTCTTTTTTAAAAAAAAAAAAAAAAAATTGAGTCAAATCTTATGAGCCCTTAACAACAGATGATGGTTTCATCATTTCTGACTTCAAAGAGTTGGGATGAGATTACAGATCAATGATTTTCCTTGTATTGGCAGGGCACAGTGGCTCACATTTCTAATCCCAACATGTTGGGAGGTGGGTGGATCGCTTGAGCCCAGGAGTTCATGACTAGGCTGGGCAACATACCAAGACCCCATCTCTACCAAAAATACATGGTGGCGTGCCCCTGTAGTCCCAGCTACTCGGGAGGCTGAGGTAGAAGGATTGCCGGAGCGCAGCTATTCAAGGCTGCAAATCATGCCACTGTACTTCAGCCTGGGAGACAGAACAAGACTCTGTCTCAAAAAAATATTTCCCATGTACTAAGAGGAAACCACCGAAGCCCTCTCTTGGATCTTGCCAGACCAAGAATGGGAAAGTCATTCCCAACATTGGCAACACCCACCAAGCTTCACTGCCAGCAGGGCTTTCCCTGCCCAGGCTGACCGTGACAATCAGGTCCCCAGATTCCCTCACCTCCAGGAACCGCGAGATGTCCCTCTTGTCGCCAACCTTCATGGCTACAACATTCTCAAACATCCAGAAGAACGGCCGGTCATCACCCTCCTTGGGGCGTGAGTAATTCAGCAGGTGGTAAAATTCGAAGAAGAGCCGGCCTGTGCCCTCTGTGCTCAGAAAACAAGATGACAGAGCAGGGTTCATTCGAAACCTCCAGCCCAACCCACTGTATTCCCTGAGACGAACAGGTTCCCAGTGGCCTCCTGACACTTAGGCTGATGCCTACCGTCCACATCCACCTGAATGACAGCAGGGACAGAGGCAGCAGCAGGGCACTATTTACTAGGGTATTTCCCTGGTGGGCTGAGGATTTACTATGGAGAGTAGGCAGCACCAAAAGACCCCTGAGGCTCCCAGTAACTTGGCGGGAAGCAAGTGGCTCCTTCTCAGGCTGCTCAATCTGGATCAGTGGTCAGGTGACATAGGCTCTCCAGGGACTCCCAGAGAGAAAGATGCTCACCATATAGGCCTTTCCTGGCTGGATTCACATTTGAGAGATCATTGCATGGGCTTCCACCAATCACCAAGTCAAATGGGCCCCATTCTTCAATCTGAGAGAGAGTCAGGATGAGGGTGTGAACAGAAGGAAAGAGAGTTATACCCACTTCTAGAATCTTCCTTGGGGCCAGGTAAAATGGCTCATGCCCGTAATCCCAGCACTTTAAGAAGCTGACGGGGGCAGTTCATCTGAGGTCAGGAGTTCGAGGCCAGCCTGGCCAACATGGAGAAATCCCATCTCTACTAGAAATATAAAAATCAGCCCAGTGTGGTGGCACATGCCTGTAATCCCTTAAGCATAAGGAGAATTGCTAAAAAATAGAGCCTTGCATGGTCACCAACTCCACTTCTGACCCTAGAAAACCTAATGTTTAAGATTCCCCAAGCTTTCAATCATTTTTTCATTTTTTTTTAATAGACACAAGGTCTCACTATGTTGCTGAGGCTAAAACTCCCGAGCTCACGATTCTCCTTCCAAAGTGCTGAGATTACAGGTGTGGGCCATCGCACCAGCCAACCACAGATTCTCTTCTACAACAGTGCCCCGGGGTCTCAGGGATGGGGCCTACATGCAGATTTCAGGGTGTGGATGACTGGGGAGCACGGAAAGAGACGAGGCCCACAGGGTACAGACCGCCCTCACATTTTTCTTTGTGATGTTCCTCACGTCGTTCACATATTTGATATTCCCCTCGTGCTTCACGGTTCCAACAGCGATGGACTCCTCACACACTTCGGAGGCGACGTACTTTCCCACCTTTATGCCCAACTCTTTGAGGACTAGGTAGCCTGTGGTGGCCGGGGAGACACAGAAGCATAAATGATGCTGAGCACACGGCAGCTCATCTCCTCCACTCCCTGCTATAGTAAAAGGCAGAATTCCTCGTGACTGCATCACATGCGTTCAATCCGGGAAAGGCTGTACAGGTTCCACACATACTAGCTGTGTGAACTCCGTATGGGGGAAAAGAAGGAAACCAGAACCAGAGAGAGCAGTAGTTGTTGCCTAATGTATCTCCAATTATACTTATGCATGTGTAATGAAAATCGGTTGCAAGATATCTGCCCATAACAAAAACCAAAGTGTAACAGCTAAGATGTACCTCCTTTTAAAATGATCAAGACTGCCCGGGCACGGTGGCTTATGCCTCTAATCGCAGCACTTTGGGAGGCCAAGGTGGGCAGATCACCTGAGGTCAGGAGTTCGAGACCAGCATAACCACCAAGGAGAAACTGTATCTCTACTAAAAATACAAAAATTAGACAGGGGTGGTGACGAGCACCTGTAATCCTAGCTACTCGAGAGGCTGAGACAGGAGAATAGCTTGAACCCGGGAGGCAGACACCACAGTAAGCAGAGATCGTGCCATTGCACTAACAAATAAAATACAATGACCAAGACTGCCAGGTGGTTGACCAGGTGGAGAGTTTTCTTCAGTGAAGGTAATCCCCCAGGGTCTTTCTTGTCCCAGATGAGACACCCTAACCATGCCTTCTGACGCCTTGGCTACCCTCTTGCGATGCAGCAGCAGAGCATCCCCAGGTGTACCCCAAACTCACCTGTTGCGATTCCATCAAACAGAGACAGGACTCGAATGGGCCGCCTTCGGGCTGCGGGAATGGCAGGGTACAGCTTGGGGGCTTCCTGCCAGGTAAGGAAGGAGGTCATGGTGGTGGAAGTGCCAGGGAAAGACACCAGCTCTGAGGGACGGGCAGGCTGACCTTGCTCAGACGGCTTCAAGCCCTGCTGCCCCCACTGCAAAAAGCCCACTGAAGCCTTGATGGGGAGTGGGGAGACAGTGTGTACCACACGAGTCTGCATTTGGCCAGGAATGGCCAATTTCTCCTTGGCCACGAGCCAGATATGTATGCACAGATGCACACATGAAAAGGTTATCACCCCAGATGGGAATGACCTAGGGCGGGCCTCCCTCCAAGAACTAGCAAATTCATTTCTACGATTTCCTTCCCTCTCAGCTGTGTTAACTCAGAAGACTACAACCATTTCTTTATATGCTGAGAAGCGGGCGAGGAGGGAGTGAACCCTGGCAAGGCTGAAAACGGTGCCCAGGAGCTGTCAATGACAGGTCCCTCAGCTGTTGAGGCTTCAAGAGGTTCCATTGTACAAGACATCTTTACTTCTACTACTCTTCCTCTGAGAATTCCAGAGCATTCCAACATCCTGTGCCCCTGGGGTCTGTGGTAGTGGAGGCAGGAGCCTGTGGCTTACATATTCAAGCCCCGTGTCACTGGTGAAGAAGGCCTGTAGGCGCACGTTCCAGTCCTTTCGGCGCCGCAGGATGCCGTGACAGCGCTGCGGGAGACACATGTAGCAGCTCCAGGGCTCCTGCAGTTTGGCCTCAGCCGCTGTGCCTGTGCCCACCAGCACCTCCAAGCACTCCACACAGAAGCACCTGTACCCAGCGGCAGGGAGAAGGGATGCCTTTGTCATCCAGCTGGTCTCCTGTGACACCCCCTTGCCACTTTCCACAGGGAAATAGCAACCCCCTCCTAAAAGCTTACCAAGGATCCGCTGCTTCACAGCATAGCCTGCAGGGCCCTGTGCGGTATGGGTTCACTGAATTCCTTCTTGATTACCCCATCCCACTTATTCCATAGGCTCTCCGATCAAAAATGCTCTCCCAAAAATGCTCTACTTCACACCATGGACACTTTGGATTACAGCCAACTGCTAAATCAGGGAGTTAACCTTCCTGACACCCGAGTCATCCCCTTCCCTCATGCTCTTAGACTATTAAGAGCACATCTAGCTGGGCGCGGTGACTCACACCTATCACCCCAGGGCTTTGACAGGCTGAGGTAGGAGAATTGCTTGAGCCTGGTGATTTGAGAACAGCCTAGGGAACACGTATACTTTTAATTTATAACCAAAAAATAGGCTAGGTGCAGTGGATCATGCCTGTAATGCCAGCACTTTGGGAGTGCTGGGATTTGGGAGGCTGAGGCAGGCAGATCACCTGAGGGCAGGAGTTTGAGAGCAGCCTGGCCAACATGGTGAAACCCTGCCTCTACTAAAAACACAAAAATTAGATGGGTGTGGTGGTGCACACTTATAATTCCAGCTACTCAGGAGGCTGAGGTATGGGAACTGCTTGTACCCTGGGGGTGGAGGTTGCAATGATCCAAGATCGTGCCACTGCACTCCAGGCTGGGTGTCAGAGCAGGACTCTGTTTTAAAAGAAAAAAAGAGCAAGACTCCACCTCAAATAAATAAACAAATAGCTGGGTGTGGTGTCGTGTACCTGTAATCAAGCTACTCAGGAGGCTGAGGCCGGAGGATTGCTTGAGCATAGGAATTGGAGGCTGCAGTAAACTATCATCATGTCACTGGACTCCACCCCAGGCAACAGAGCAAGACCCTCTCTTAGAAAAGAGAGCCCTTCCCCATACGTGAGTTCCTCTCCAAGTATGCTACAGCCACAGCCACCACATATCAATCCCATGTGCTGCTTCCAGGACAATTTAGTTCCCTGTCCCCATGCCTGGGACTCCATTAAACAGGCAGCTGTCTGCAGACTGCAGGAACCTAGGAGCCTTGGGGGCCCACCCACATCCAGCCCACAGGGCCCAGCATTCACCGGCAGCAGCTCGTGTTGCTGCAAAGCAGCAGCTCTCGGCCCTCACAGCACACGGTGCAGTAAGACTGATAGCCATCGTCATCATACATGTAAAACAGCTCAAGGAACCGATCCTGCCAGCGACAGAGAAACACCAGTGAAATAAGAGAGCAGAGAAGCCAGGCCCTGCCAGCTTTCAGGTGGAGGTCCTAGGATACAGCCACAAAACACACTGCTGGTGGCTTGCTGTCCTTTAAAAAGACAACTGGCTGTGATGTGTGTGCCTCCGGCCTCTATGACAGCTCTCCCCGACCCTGCCCCAGAGGCTGCATGCAAGGCACCTGGGATGAGTGAGCTTCACTGATGCTCCTCGAAGGTGCTGTTGGGAAGGACAGGGGAGGGTGGGGAGGCAGGGGGAGGAAGGTCCAGGGCAGGGGGAGGAGGACTTACCCGGCATGTCTGACAGAGCCCCCCCTCAAAGAGAGGGTGGAAGGACACGGGATTTTTCCTGCCACAAGACAAACAGCCATCTGTAAGAAAAACAGGGTTGCGGCTTGTGGCAATGGAGGCCCTGACACCAGCTGCTGATGCCTGGGGTCTCTCAGTTCTTAAGATTTTCCTCCAGGCCAGCACCTTGCCTAGGACTCTTCACGCCTCAGGTCAGGCCTCACGGCTTCTACCTTTCCACAGTGCTTTCAAGATGCAATCCCTGCTTCACAGATGGGGAACATCAAGACAGGCAGGGGGCTGCCCTAGTCGAATGATGTCAGGCAGAACGCTGAGCAGGGGGGCCTCCAACAGAAACAGGCTTTGAGGGCCTGGTGTGACAATCCTTGAGAAGCCTTAGATAACTGCGACACTAAGGATTTTGCAGTGACTCCAATTGGCTTGTTGTCTCATGGTGGGACTTGCCCACGCCCATGCCCTATAAACAGCAAATGGCTGTAATTTCAGAATCCAGGTCCTTCAACCAGTAGGTAGCCCTGCCTTCCTTTCATATCACCAGGTCAACATGGAGTTGCATCCCTGGCTAGGTAGACAATAGCTTTATGAAGTCTATGACCAAGCATCTCTACCTAATCAGAAGTGTGAATGAGTCTTGGGGAATAGCATTTCTAAACCAAAGCTCTTCCCGGGGTTCTCTGGGTCAGAGATGTGGTGTTTTCCTATTCAGCAATGAGTAACTGGGGGTTGAGGAAGCAAGGGAGACTTCATCCTCACACATTCTGTATTCCATGAGGTATATTCTGGCCAGAGTATCCAATCAGTGGAAATCCCCAGCCAGTGCAAGCAGACTATTTAGCCGGACAGTGTCCACAGGTCTAAAAGCTAGTTAGGTGCAGCTCTTCTTTAGGAAGGCTCGTGATACCAGTAATCTTGTTTTTAGGTTATGGCTCTCCCAGCCAAAGAGGCCAATCTTCCCTTCTTCCACACCACACCCTTCCTGTCCCTTTCTCTTAAGGGGCACAATTGGGTAATTCATTCCACAAACTGTAGCAATTAAGATGCAGGGACCAGGAATAGGACCACAAAGCTCTGGGTTAAACCCCAGCAGGGTGGATGAGCTAGGATAAGGCAGGCCTAGAGCCCCAGCCAGGGTGTGAAAGGCAAGGACTGAGAGGGAGAGAACGTTACCTTCCAGGCTGCTCTTGTTGTTGGCAACGTCTGAAGCCATTTGTTCTATTGAAAAAAGAGGGAGAAGGCATGAGATGAGGTTACGGAGCCAGGTATGGACCACTTCCCGATCTTCGGAGTCTTCCTCCCATCTGCCCGTGATCCCAAGGTAGCGGGTCCCCAACAATCACCTCGGGTCTGATCTTCATCCCCTCGGTCTTTGCCATTGTTATAGCAATTTGTCTTGAGGCGCTTGGGTGGGGGGCAGTAGTCAGAGGCGGCCGAGTCGTCAGCTGTGCGTCTTCGAGTCTTGTTCTCTGTGAAAGGTAATTAGACTGCAGCCGTGGCTTGGTAGGAGGGTCCAGAGAGAATGCGGGCCCAGGACAAGACCATGCTATGCCTGGGTACCAGCTGCAATTGGGGCATGACAGGGGGCCTCACTGAATGTATATGGCCCCTTGATGGGCAATTCACAACAGGAGCTCATTCAAACCCCTTGCACCCAGGATCCTTAACCATGTTTACAAGGTTTTAAATGGCTAGGATGTAAAGGTGACTCAGCTCAGAGAGAAAACTCAATTCAGAGCTAAAAGCCTGACATACCTATGTCTGTGATATCTGATATCTGACATGCTGGACAATAGCCATGGGGAGTGGCTACTGAGAACCTGAACTGGTGAGTGAGGAAATGAATTCTACATTCAATGTTAATTAAAACACTGACAAATGGGTCGAGTAACTGGCTTATTACGACTAACCTAGACATATGAGCCTTTTTCAAATGCGTCTTTTTATGAATTTAGTTAATTTGTGTTTAATTAACTACATCTGTATTTAGTTAATAATCTGTACTTAATACAGATCAATTATTTTCATTGCAAATTTAGCATCAAAATTGAGATCTATAAAATATGTAATATGTAAAATAAGTGAAAATTTGCAAACAGCATTATAAATGTAAACTATCTCAATTTTTTTTTTTTAAATAAAGATGGGGTTTCACCATGTTAGTAAGGGTGGTCTTGAACTCCCAACCTCAGGTGATCTGCCTGCCTTGGCCTCCAAAGTGCTTGGATTACAGGCGTGAGTCACCACACCCGGCCATACTATCTCAATTTTTATATTAGCTGGATATTGAAATGCTAACATTTTGGAAATTTGGTGATAAAAAAATCATGATTTGTATTAATCTCACCTGTTTCTTTTTACTTTTGTTTTGTTTTGAGATGGAGTTCCACTCTTTCTTGTTGCCCAGTCTGGAGTGCAGTGGCACGATCTTGGCTCATTGCAACCTCCACCTCCTGGGTTCAAGTGATTCTCCTGCCTCAGCCTCCCGAGTAGCTGGGATTACAGGCATTCACCACCACCACACCTGGCTAATTTTTGTATTTTAGTAGAGACAGGGTTTCACCATGTTGGCCAGGCTAAGGGATCTGTCTGCCTCAGTCTCCCAAAGTATTGGGATTACAGGCATAAGCCACCGCATCCGGTCTCCTTTTTACTTTTTAAATGTTCCTTTTTTTTTTTTTTTTTTTTTTTTTTGAGATAGGTTCTCATTGTGTCACCCAGGCTTGAGTGCAGTGACATGATCTCAACAAACTGCAGCCTCGACCTCCTGCACTCAAGCGATCCTCCCACCTCAGCCTCCACAGGCACACACCATCCCGCCCGGCTAATTTTGTATTTTTTGTAGAAACAGGGTTTCACCATGTTGCGAAACCCTGGTCTTTAACTCCTGAGCTCAAGTAATCTGCCCACCTCAGCGTCCCACAATGCTGGGAAATCCAAGATATGCTTATTTGCATCCCAAAGTCCTAGAATTACAGGCATGAGCCACAAAACTCATTTTCAGTGAGACTATTAGAAAAAATTTTAATTACATAACATCGCTCCCATTCTATAAGTGGGATTTTGCAAAACTCATTTGTATTTCTATTCCATCTATACAGAAAATCTTAATGGACATGATTAAATTTGACTCTGACCTTAGGGAAAAAAATTATACAGCCATTAAAAATCATAAGGACCCTTTAGTGACAAAATGACATTGGACAGTGCTTACAGTATTAATATTGAGAAACAAAGGAGAAAGCAGGCATCCAACTAGTGTACAGAAAAATCTGGAAGGATGTGCACCCCAATGTTAACCTGGAAGGTATCTGTGAGGGTGGGATGTGAAGGGAGAATGGGGAGGGAGCTCAGATTGACTCTTCAGGAAATTTGATTCTTTTCCAGTGACCATTTTATATGCAAAGAAACCAGAAAAAAGTGCAAAGAAAACAGTGTACAGTCAAAAGACGGGAAGGAAATACCGTATTTCTTTGATTCTAATTTCCTACTGCCTGCACGACGCACCTTCGACTTATTAACCACTTTTGGGGGGGAAACAAAACAAAACAGAAAAAAATTACATTAAACGTATGGACTGTTTTCTTTTCTGAGATAAGGTCTTGTTCTGTGGCCCAGGCTTGAATGCAGTGGTGTGATCTTAGCTGACTGCAATCTCTGCCTCCTGGGCTCAAGCCAATTCTCCCACCTTACCTCCCAAGTAGCTGGGACCACAGGCACATGCCAACTACAACAGGCTAATTTTTTATCTTTCACCACGTTGTCCAGGCTGGTCTCCATCTACTTGCCTCAAACGATCCGCCCACCTTAGCCTCCCAGACTGCTGAGATTACAGGTGTGAGCCACTGTGCCTGGCCTTTAAATGTATGGATTGTAAGACAAGTCCTGGATTTCAAGAAACCAGTTATGTTGTAATGGGAAATATACGGTACTGGTCAAAATGTTAGTAGGTGGCATATTGCTCTTCTTCAACACTTCCCAATTTTCTTGAATGAACATAGTTTAACTATTTTTTCCTTTAATAAAAACATTGCATCTTGACATCAAAACAGGTATCAGATTCAAATAAATTCTACGTACATGACCATTAGCAAGAAAGTGGCCAGGGAAGCCAGACAGGGCTGGCACAGCCTTCACATGCCTGGTCATATTTTTTCTGACATTCAAAGTTGAGACCAGCTGCTAGAAAGCTGGGTGGGGTGACCGGCAGCAGGGGTGGCTGATTCTCCCAAGAAGTTGTCCCACCAGCAGAGACAGCAGGTGCTACTATGGGGACTCATTCCCACCTGGTTGCGTGTTGTTGGGTTTGAGGCCCTCGATCCCAGTGGGCTTGAAGCCCCCGTGGGCCCACTCCAGCATGGGCTTCAGCTGGTCCTCCAATGAGTCTCCAGGGCTGCTGGGGAAGGTCTTGCCAGCTCGCACCCTAGCTTTCTGCAAAGGCAGAGTCTGTGATGAATGGGGGGTGGGGAGGATGTGCTCGCCAGGCCACACCCAGGGATTCCCCCAGCCAGGGCCTACATTCCCCTTCACACTGGGCCCTTTCATAGCCAGACAGCTGTCCTGGGCTGTGGTATGTGTCAGGGAAGGAGGAGCCTGTGCAGGGAGAGGCCTCGGAATGGGGGTTGTGGTTGAATCTTTCCATGCAAGCCCCCAATAGGATCTCTTCCCCCTAGGAATGTGAGTGGTCACTTCCCTCTCAAAGGGCAGATACAACAGAATTAACTCTACCACTTTAAGATACAGAAGCCCCAGCCAAAACTAGCTCATCTCCTCTGTATCTTATATAAGAAGGCACTCGATTTCTTGTTTTATCTCCCTAAAGATGGGGGCATTAACATGTGTCCTACATAAAGCACCATGAGGATTTCAGTGTCTAATGAAGCCTATGGCAACTAGAAGAGGCTGGCTCTTAAATGCCGAACAAAGGTGGGGTAAAAAAACATCAAGGTAAAGGGAGGGACAAGGTGTAATGGTTTGTCAGGGTTAACGTGGCCCACATATAGAAGGCAGCTGGCCTCCACTGCTGTCTTAGCCGTGAACTCCGCCCCTCGAAAGGAGGCTCTGAGGTCTCTGGAAAAGCATATTCCCTGCCATGAATACTGCACCTCTAACTGCCTGTGCTCTTTCCTTCTGATTCAGTTAGTGGTCCCAACAAGAGGCAGCCGGGATGGCTCAAACCCCTTTGCAGGAAGGCTGATCCGGTGGCCATCATATTGTTGGCTTACCTCCTCCCTGGCCACCCTGTACCCTCCAAACCACCCCGGCAACACTGAGCTAGGTTTCTGTGGGTCTCCTGCATCACCCCTGCTCTCAGGGCCTGGCCCTTGTCCCCTCATCCCATGTTACCTCCAGAGCATGGTACATGGCTTTTCGATAGGAGACGAGCTTATTGAAGGTGGCCAAATTAAAGTGCTGGCTGAACAGCCCCAGTGCCACCAGTTTGTCTGCAGAGACCTAGAAGAGAAAGACATCATCAACATCAACCTACAGGTGTGTCCCGGGTGCCATGTCTATCACAAGGTTGTCCATCAGATGCAGAAGATTTTCATACACTTTAACCAAGAGCCCATTCCTGGGGATAAAGTCCACAGATATCTATGCAAAAGGAAGGAAAGAAAAAAGCAAAAAAATAGAAATGACACAAAGACACATATCAATACAGATATCCAGAACCTGGTTAGATATGACATTGTAATGGTGAAAACGAATGATACTTGGAATGAATGCAATTAGATGAACCCTGTGTTTGTGACCCCTGAGGCTCAGTCCTAAAATTCTCTGTGGATGCTCCAGCATTGGGGGTTTACACATATTCCTTCTTCTTTCCTAAGCACGGTAACTCTTTACTTCTTACCCTTTTATTAAAACTATTTCAGGCTGGCATGGTGGCTCACGCCTAATACCAACACTTTGGAAGGCTGAGGTGGGTGAATCACTCGAGGTTAGGTTTTCAAACTGTCCTGGCCAACATGATGAAATCCCCAGATTCTTTCTTTTTTTTTGGAGATGGAGTCTTGCCCTGTTGTCCAGGCTGCAGTTCAGTGGCACCATCTTGGCTCACTGTAACCTCTGCCTCCCTGGTTCAAGCGATTCTTCTGCCTCAGTCTCCTGAGTAGCTGGGCTTACAGGCACATGCAACCACGCCCACCTAATTTTTGTATTTGTATAAGAGATGGGGTTTCAAGATGTTGGTCAGGATAGTCTCAAACTCCTGACCTTGTGATCCGCCCGCCTAGGCTTCCCAAAGTGCTGGGATTACAGGCATGAGCCACCGCACCCGGCCGAAATGCAAAGAATTAGCCAGGCGTGGTGTCAGGTACCTATAATCCCAGCTACTCAGTAAGCTAAGGCAGGAGAAACACTTGAAGCGAGAGGTGGAGGTTGCAGTGAGCCAAGTTCACGCCCTTGCACTCCAGCCTGGGCAAAAAGAGCAAAACTCTGTCTCACAAATAAAATAAAAAACAAGCCCCCTAATTAGTGTGTTTAGGAAACGATGCTTGGCACAGTAAGCACCTTTCACTCATTGTGATTATTTACCTTTAGTACTTGTGATTTAATCCATATTCTTTAAGTTTCCTGATATCCCAAGTCCCCAGACCAAGTATGAACTGACTGAGTGGCCAGTGAGAGAAAATGGACGTTCAGGGATGCTAATCAGAACTGAAAGACAAGGCCAGACAGAGTGGCTCAGGACTAAATTCTCATCACTTTGGGAGTGGGATTTGGGAGGACTGCTTGAGCCCAAGAATTCGACTAGCCTGGACAACATAGCAAGACCCCATCTCCCTTAGAACCTAAAGCACAATTAAAAAAAAAACAAAAAAACCCATCTCTACAAAAGATTTTAAGATTGAGCCAAGCACAGTGGTATGCACCTGAAGTCTTAGCTACCCTGTTTAAGCAGAAGGATTGCTTGAGCCCAGGTTATTGAGGCTGCAGTGAGCCGTGACAGCACCATTGCACCACTCAGCTTGGGTGACAGTGAGGACCTCATCTCTTAAAAAAAAAAAAAAACAAACTGCAAGACACAGGGAATGTTCTATTCTCCATAGAGTGTGCTCACACTCATACAAACCTCCATTTGATACTGGACAGCCTGACTTCCTGTGTGGGGGTGTGACCACCATTGGTGAGAAAATACTGGGGCTCCGGTAGGGGTTAAAAACGCTCATACACAAGTGCTGGTTCCAGTGCTCGGTGGCTCCAACACAACCCGAACACTGCACACATGCCAGGCAGGCACTTTCCCAGGCCAGAGCCAGGTCCCATATGGTCATCTCATCCCCTGATGTTGACAACAGCACACTGCATTGCATTAGCCTCAGATTCTGTCTTGCAAAGTGCATTTGATGTCTCGATGGGGCAAAGCAATTGCAAACAGTCCATCTTCCTTCACTTCACAGAAGTGACCACTCTCTCAGCCCTGGAAGTAGCGGCCTCACTGCCAGCATGGGCCCAGGACTTGTCCTTCTGCTCCCTCTGCTGGTCACAGCAGCCATCTGCGTACAGTCTCTCCTACAAGGAAGACTCCATACCCTATTATTTTAGCCCTGGGGGAACTTCAATGCATTCATGGCAAATGGCCCCTTGGTAGCTCAATTCATGGGAAAAACAGAATCTCTGCTTCAGGCTGAATCCCAGGAATGTACAGCCCTGGCTTGCTGCTGCTGCAACTGCAACCTCATTTAGCCGCTCTCTGAGGCTAACTTAGCCCCTCTCTTAGGACTCTGAGGGTGGGAATAATACTAACTTCTAAGAGACTGTCACAGGAAAGGTCTGTCTGATCAAAATCTTTGTTGAGGCCAGGTGTGGTGGCTCACCCCTGTAATCTCAGCACTTTGGGAGGCTGAGGCTGGTGGATCATCTGACGTGAGGAGTTGGAGACAACAGGCTGAAATCCCGTCTCTCACTAAAAATACAACAATTAGTCGAGAGAGGTGGTGGGTACCTGTAATCGCAGCTACTCAAGAGGCTGAGGCAGGAGAATCACTTGAACCCAGGAGGTGGAGGTTGCAGTGAGCCAAGATTGTACCACTGCACTCCAGCCTGGGCAACAAAGCAAGACTCCATCTCACAAAAAAAAAAAAAAAAAAAATGAAAACAGCCTAGTTATGCCCAACACAGCTCTTCCCCAGCTAAATTTCATTGTCAAGAAAGATTTTAAATGACTAATGCCAATCATCAAGAGACTCTGAAATAACCAAACCCTTTTCATAACTGATATCAGGTGACCCTAAATCCAACTACAGGCCACCTAAGGATGCACTTGTGCCTGTCTCCTTCCCCCCACAGGGCTAAATGACAAGAGGCCACGACCACGCTTCTGGGCTCTTCCAGGCTTCTTCTCCACTGAACACCTTTGGGTACCTGCTCATGTGGCCACTTCTGGCCAGTCAGAGTCCACACTGGTGATTTGGCCCCCAGAAAATAAATCTAAGAATAACACAAAATCCAAGTGACTATGGATCAGAACTTTCTAGCACTTGTGTCCTCTCTCTGAGCAGACCCATAAGACCCTAAGAATCTGCTGTCACTGGTTAACAAGCTAAGTTTTGTCCTTCACTCCGGACAGTGTGAAGGCATAGGCTCGCCCATCTGCAGAATGCAATCGCAGGGCTCCATCTCCAAAGGCAATTGCAGAAGGAAGGAAGACACAGCCTCAAGCCTGCAGAGCCCCGTCCCTTCCCCGAGACTCACCTCGGAGAACTTGCCATCGCCAAACCACTGGACCCACCGCATGCCTGACATGGCCTGTCGCTTGGAGGTGGCCTTCCAAGATACCACCATGGCAGGCCACCAGGAGAAGCCCTTGATCTTCCCCCACACGAGGTCCCCTATTCCAAACTCCTTCCCATCCTGGAAGAAAAACCACATGGAGAAATCCCAGTGAGGAGAGGCACTCTGGGCCAAGTCCCAGCCACGTCACTGACCCTGAGGGCAACAAAAAGCTTACTCAAAATGACACATGTAGCCAGATGCTATGGCTCATGCCTGTAATTCTCAGTACTTTGGGAGACTGAGGCACAAGGATCACTTGAGGCCAGGCCATATAGCAAGACTCCATTTCCACAATTTAAAAATTTAGCTGGGTATGGTGGTGCATGCCTGTAGTCTCAGCTACTAAGGAGGCTGAGATAGGAGGATCACTTTAGGCCAGGAGTCTGAGACTAGCCTGGGCCCCATAGCAAGACCCCTTCTACACAAAATAAAATGTAGTAATAGACATAGAAAAAAGGAATACTAACAACAGATAAATACATACACGTGTAAGGAGTCTTCATGCAGCAATGCTTGAATCAAAACATAAAAAACCCTAGTTGGTTAATTAAGCTATGATCCAGACCACTGGATTCATTATATAGACGTGAACCTCAGGCAACGAGTTCCTAACAGGTTAAAAAAAAAGCCAGTCTACAAAGGTATACTATGTACAATATACACAACATGTGCACTCTGATGAACAGAATCACAATATGTATTACATATGCAGCTGGAGTCCTTATACAAATGCCATATTCAGTAAATCAGTGTTCAGATGATTAATACTGGCATTTGACTTATGTCTGGGAGAGGATTAAGGTAAAGAAAGGACCGTGGTGCATGTGGAAGATCCCTCTCGGTGGTACCTGATACTCTGAACTGTCTCCATCTCTACTGTCTGCCTCCACCTGCGGGGACTCCATGCCCTCCTGATGGTTGTCCTGGGCTAGGCGGGCGTAGGGGGTACTGCTGCTCTGGGGCATCACATCTGTGTCCTCTGTATCGTCCGTGAGGTCGATGGTGAGGTAAGGGCTGGGAGGGGACGACCATGGCATGCCTGCCGATGCTGTCGCCCGCCGTCTCAGGGACTGTGGACAGAAGGACATAGTTTGGGCCACAGGAAAGGATGTCAGTGACCAGAGACCAACAGCACCCCCAAATGCCTCCTAGGCAAAAAGAAAGAGGAAAGACCGAAGTTAAAGAGGAGAGAGACCGCTGAAGAAAGTTCTCCAGGAACACGTATCCCTTAAGAGATGGGAGAAAGTCGTTGTAACTGTCCCAGCAACAGAGACAGAAAGAGGACAAAGGCACAATGACGGGTAAGGACGAGGGACTCCAAGCCTGGAGCAGGTCACTGGCTTCTCTAAGCGCTTACTGTGCATGCGACCATTCTTGCAGCAACAGTGAAGTGTTTCCTCAGGACAGGTGAAAAAGACATTAGTGAGAAGACAGTCTGGAAGTAGTGGTTTCTACCTTGTCTCCAAGGTCGAGCAAGAACCAAGTCAACAGGGAAAGCTTCCATTCCCAACAGAGTGTCATCTGAGATCAGACCAGGAGAGAAGCCAACAGGCTTAAGGGAAGCTTACCCAGGAGAGAAAAGAAAAAGCAAGAACCTGAAAAGCAGTGTGAAGAAAGGACACAAATTATCCACCAGCCACAGCCAGGAATGCAGTGAGTGAGGCACGTCTCCCAGTTAAAGACTGGGGGCAGGGGTCTGGGCAACTGGAGAACCAACCCTGGTAGCCGGGAACTCCACGGGGGACTCCTCCACATGGCTGCGGGCCTGCCGGCCTCGGGTGGAACGTGGGGAAGGCCTGTGCCTCTCCCTGCTGGAGGCACTGTTGTTATTTCGGGTTCGGACCTGGAAGCAAGAGAGGACACGCACTGGGCCTGAGGTGACTGGAGGCCTGGGGTCTTGCGGGGCCAGGAGGTGGCCAGCTTCAGGACAACTTGAAGTGAACAGGTGATGAGGTAGATGGGGACTCTGCACTGAGAGCACCAAGAGTTCCCCAGCTCTTGGAATAGAGGTGGCAGGGTGTCCAGCTAGGCGGCCCCACAATTCCCAGCAGGTCCTGCTCTGCCTGTCACAGCAGACAGACGTGGCCAGCTGAAATGGCACCTGCCAACTGGGATTGAAAAATAAAAATCTGGCCAAGAGCAGTGGCTCATGTCTGTAATCCCAGCACTTTGGGAGGCCAAGGCGGGCAGATCATTCGAGGTCAGAAATTCAAGACCATCCTGGATAACATGGTGAAACATCATCTCTACTAAAAATACAAAAATTACTTGGGCATGGCGGTGGGTGCCTATAGTCACAGCTACTCAGGAGGCTTAAGTAGGAGAATCCCTTGGACCAGGGAGGCAGAGGTTGCAGTGAGCTGAGGTCAGGCCACTGCCCTCCAGCCTGGGCAACAGAGTGAGAGTGTCATAAAAATTTTTTTTAAATAAATAAATAAACAGAAAGAAAAATTCATGTTCACTCTAAACCAAACTTTTATGCCAAAGAATTAAGGAGGCCAATGAATGGGTTCAGAAAGGCACCCACCCGATTATCAAGCTGGCGGAGAATCCCTGAGGCTCTATGTTCATTGTCAAAAATGGCATGAACTCGTTGCTGCAGAACCTGAGTTCAAATTCCGCATAGAAGAGTTACCGTTTAACCTGGGTAAGCTGCTGGGATCTTCTCTCATCTCCACAAGGGGGATGATACAGACCACATCCTGGGCAGGGAAGACCGTCACCCACACCTGGGATAGGAACTGAGTGCCAGTCTGGTTTCTAAAGGGCCGGGTGACCATGAGCAATACCTGCCTTCCCATTGCCAGACCTAAAAACTCTGATCCACAGAGTCCAACCACAGAAGTGGTGGACGTGCAAGGTAATTAGCAGCTGAGCCATCTATCCTGCAATCTCTATCACCCCTGGGCACCTCCAAGAGTATACAAAAACTGAAAAACCACCTGAAAGAAATGGCATACCAGCTGGGCGCAGTGGCTCACGCCTATAACCCCAGCACTTTGGGAGGCCAAAGTAGGCAGATCACAAGGTCCGGAGTTTGACACCAGCCTGGCCAACATGGTGAAACCCCATCTCTACTAAAAATACAAAAATTAGCCAGGCACGGTGGTGGGTGCCTGTAATTCCAGTTACTTGGGAGGCTTAGGCAGGAGAACCACTTGAAACCAGGAGGCAGAGGTTGCAGTGAACCAAGATCACACCATTGCACTCCAGCCTGGGCGACAGAACAAGACTCCATCTAAAAAAAATAAAAGAAAGAAAACCTTCCAGGAGGCCAGGTGCAGTGGCTCATGCCTGTAATCCCAGTACTTTGGAAGGAGGCCAGGGCACGTGGATCACTTGAGATCAGGAGTTCGAGACCAGCCTGGCCAACATGGTGAAACCCTGTTTCTACTAAAAATATAAAAAATTAACTGGGCATGGTGGCATGCAGGTCATTCTAGCTACTGGGGAGGCTGAGGTAGGAGAATTGCTTGAAGCCGGGAGGCAGAAGCTGCAGGGAGCTGAGATCGCACTATTACACTCCAGCCTGGGCAACAAGAGTGAAACTCCATCTCAAAAAAACAAAAACCTTCCAGGAGACTTGCTTATATTTTCTAGAGTCAAAACATTTGTTTGTCTCTTTCTCTCTCTTAAAAGCTCCCCTAGAGAGATCCAAGACATGTTTACCATGCTGTCTGGCATGGTGGCTAAAAGCACTTTGTCTCAGGGTGCGGCTACTTACAGCTGGGCTTTCTGACCGAGTCCTGGTTTCCCGGAAGAGCTTCGGCATCACTGGGGTGTCAGAGCCATCCCCATCTTCCCCGTCGCCATTGCCTGTCAAGTCCTTTATAAGGAAACATGATGAACTTTTCAGTAAGAAGTCACACAAGCAAAACAGTGTGAAAGTAAAAAATCATTCATCATATTGAAACTACAATTATACTACTAATTCGAGAGACCCAAAAAACATTTTCAACGGGCTTATTTTGTCCCCAGATTCTGGGGACAAAATTTCTACAAATTCAAGACAGGACTGAAAGATAAAAGAAACAAGGCAACTGCAATATGCAAAACTTCTCACCTGTGCCTGGCAGGGAGACCGGGTCACTTACTGCAACACACTGCATACGGGCACAGACACAGGCCAACCACGAGAGCTGTCCAGGAAGCAATGCCATGAAACCTGCACCGTGCCATAAAGGCCTCCTCGTGCAGGCTTCACAAAGCCAAACACAAAGACTGAAGCAGTGAGCAGCTAGGTCTGGCTAGAGTGTTGAACACTTGCTTCACTCACAAACCGTGTGGCCTTGAGTACACTTCCCAGTAACAGTACTTCCCTCGTAACACAACAGGGTTACATCAAGGATCCAGTAATGCGCTGGGTGTGGTGGCTGACACCTGTAATCTCAGCACTTTGAGAGGCCAAGGCAGATTGAGGTTACCTGAGGTCAGAAGTTTGAGACCAGCGTGGCCAACGTGGTGACACCCTGTCTCTACTAAAAATATATAATTAGGCTGAGAGTGTAATCCCAACACTTTGGGAGGCAGAGGCGGGCAGTCACAAGTTCAGGACCAGCCTGGCCAATATGGTGAAACCTCATCTCTACTAAAAATACAAAATTTAGCTGGACACGGTGGCAGGCACCTGTAATCCCAGATGCTCAGGAAGTCTGAGGCAGGAGAATCGCTTGAACCTGGGAGGTAGAGGTTGCAGTGAGATCACGCCACTGCACTCCAGCCTGGGTAACAGACAAGCCTCTGTCTCAAAACAAACTGAACAAACAAAAAGAAAACAAATGCTGGGCCGGGCCCGGTGGCTCAAGCCTGTAATCCCAGCACTTTGGGAGGCCGAGGCAGGTGGATCACAAGGTCAAGAGATCGAGACCATCCTGGTCAACATGGTGAAACCCCGTCTCTACTAAAAACACAAAAAAATTAGCTGGGCATGGTGGCGTATGCCTGTAATCCCAGCTACTCAGGAGGTGGAGGCAGGAGAATTGCCTGAACCCAGGAGGCAGAGGTTGTGGTGAGCAGAGATTGCACCATTGCACTCCAACCTGGGTAACAAGAGCGAAACTCTGTCTCAAAAAAAAAAAAAAGGAAACAAATGTTTGGGCAAGAGATTTCACTACTGTTGCTGGTAACCAGCTATCAGAAACAAAATAGCAGTGCTAAGCCTCTGATCCTGCAGCCTCCCTAATTCCTCCCAGGACTTGGGTACCTCACTGTCTGAGTCCCGCTAGTAAGTTGCCCACCACCAAGAAAATGGAAGCTGAGGGGGAGTTTTCACTGCTCAGGATTGTTTTGACTGACACTGGCTCTGAGCAAAAGCAACCCAACTGACCAACTCTACGAAGAGTAATTAGGAAATGAAGGCATCAGTAAAGGAAGGAACACAAAACATGATGGGAAAAAATTCAGCTTTGGAAAAGTAAATGATGAAGTAGAAACCTTGATAATGTAGCAAGTCTTAAATGATATAATAATTGTTTGAAAAACAAGTTTATTCCAGCTTGTAAAAAAATGCCTTGAGCCCATATAATCCTGACATCAAAATCAGAGATATATTTAAAGAAATAAAATCAGCCAGGCACAGTGGCGCACGCTTGTAATCCCAGCACGTTGGGAGGCTGGGACAAGCAGATCACTTGAGGCCAGGAGTTCGAGACCAACCTGGCCAACACATGGTAAAACACCATCTCTACTAAAAATATGAAACAATTGGCCAGGTGTAGTGGCACATCACCTATAGTCCCAGCTACTCAGGAGGCTGAGGCAGGGGAATCACTTGAGCCCAGGAGGCAAGAGGTTGCAGTGAACCAAGATTGTGCCACTGCACTCCAGCCTGGGCAACAGACTGTCTCAAAAATAAACAAAAAAATAAAATCACACTCCCATTTCATTCATGAATACATGAATAAAATCAACTTCATAATGCACCATGACCAAGTCGGACTCATTGCAGGAATAAAAAGACAGCTTGCTATACAGTAGTCCCCCCTTAACCAGGGGGGTACATTCCAAGCCCCCCCATGGCTGCCTGATACCTCAGAGCATGGAGCCCTATATGTGCTGCATTTATGTCTATATCTACATACCTATACAGTTTAATTTATAAACTAGGCACAGATTAACAGCTAATATTAAAATAGGACAACTACAATATACTGTTTTTGTTTTGTTTTTGTTTTTAAGACAGGGTTTCACCATGTTGGTCAGGCTGGTCTTGTACTCCCGACCTCAGGTGATCCACCCGCCTTGGCCTCCAAAGTGCTTGGATTATAGGCGTGAGCCACCACGCCTAGCCCAATATACTGTTAATAAAAGCCATGTGAATGCAGCTTCTCTCTCAAAATATCTTATTGTACCCTATTCAGAGTTCATCTGTCCTCCCATGGCTTATGACCTGGTGCCTTCCTCCTTTGCAATTTTATGAATGTAGGTTCTAACAGGCATCCTCTTCTGGAGGAGTCTGGTTTCACTGCCATCTTGTTTTGGATGATTTCCTTTTTCCTTAATCAACTTCGACTCTTCTGAAAACGTAGTAACAGCTTTTTATTTTTATTTTTTTACTATATCCAGTAATGGCTATAAGCAAAACAGCTTTTTCATTGGCAAATGCAGCCTCGCCAGTAATTTTTACAGTCGAAACCAATTCTTGCATCTGTGTAACCATCCCTTACTCGAAAAAAATGGTTTGGTGTCAGGGGATCCCTTGCTTTAGGCTGTGCTTTCTGGCACAACACACCGCTGTCAGTCAGAACACATTTCTGTTCATGTCTTGCACCTATGCATTTCATGCTTTTCCCACCTTAACTACACACTTATCACGCAACATGGCCATAACTTTTGCAGTTTGAGGCACAACAATAAAACTAGCATGAATTTCTTTTTCCTTCACCATTACACGGCTGGAAGATTTGTTCTTACCATGGATCTAGCAACTTCGGCATAAGATTTCTTTTTTCCTTATTGAGAACTTCCACTTTTTCACTTAAAGGAAACACTTCCTGGCTTATCTTTGACATAACTGAGTCGCCAGCGTCATCACTCCTGCACTTTGGGGCCGTTATTAACTACAAGGAGTATTACTTGAACACAGGCACTGTGAGACTGCAACGGATCACATCACGGAGATGGCTGGTAGCACCTAAGCGTAGAGATGCTAGAAAAAGGCAGGACTCTGGTCCTGGGCAGGATGGAGCAGGAAGGGTAAGATTCCATCATGCTACCAGAATGGCACCCAATTTAAAATCTATGTACATTGTTTATTTCTGGGATTTACCACTTAGAATTTCCCATTTAATACAGATTGCAGTTGACCGCAAGCAACTGAAATCATGGGAAGCAAAATGACAGATAAGAGGGGACGACTATATCAGAGATTTATCAATGTAACTGATTATCCAGATCAAAAAAATAATTCCAAATATATGCAGAAAGTGTCTACCTTGGCAACCCTCTATACATTTCAGATGCTAGTTCCTATGGGCCTCAGGTTGCCCAGTGCTGAAAGCAAAAGACAACGTCCCTGAGCCTGAAAAAGGGAGAGCAGAGACCGTACCTGCGTATAGCTTAGCAGACTGGACACCTCCCTCTTGGAGAGTCTCAAGCTTGATCTTCGGCCTGTGGAGGAAACAGCCAGAGTCTGTTTTCAGGGGACAGGCACCAGCCAGGAGAAGCTGACAGGGGCTGTTTTCTGTGGCCTGTGATCTCCCCAACACTATTGTCAGGCACAGGGGTTTGCTCTCAGGCCCCCGGGTATCGCTCATCCTCTCTGATTTTATTCATAAGGCCACAGAGCCCTGGGCCCAAAACAACACTGAAGTTACTAGGCAGGGGAGCCCTCCAGTTCCTCCAGCAGAGTGCTGCCCATCCAGGGACCACTAACTACATTTCCAGGAACAATTCACTGCCTGCCATGTCAGCCGCATCTCAAGTGCTCACATGTAGAGTGTGGCTATTGTGAGGAACAATGCAGAAATAGAACCCTTTCACGCTCGCAGGAAGTTCCATGGGATGGCACCACTGAGAGGACAATGCAGGGCTTTCCAACCCAGCTGGGGCGGGATCCCAAGTGAGCTGGCTGGGAGCTGCTCAGGGCAGGGTGGAAAAGGACCTCCCGCTACGAATCCCAGCCCAGCTCTATTAGGGGAGAGGGTCTGCAGAAGACCACCCCTGTCATGACTGGCAGAGGACAGGGAACCATCACCCTTGTGTCACTTGCAGAGTCCCAGCTGAGATGAAAGTCCCACAGGAGAGGCCATGGGCTGCAGGCAGGTGTGAAGGGCTCGGCCCTGCATCCCTCCTTGCTCTCTTCCCTCCTGGGAGACTGTGGAGGTTGTCAGAGACTCTCCCCGAAGCCTCCAGTGGTCTGCAGTGACTGCTCACTGTGTCAGCACCTGACCCCACCCCAGTCCCCACAGCCCGGCCACCTCTGATCTCGGGGGTGCGGATGGCCTCCAGGATTGGGGGCGAGTCGGAGGACTGGTCACTGCAGGCCCCATTGACGAGGATAGAGTCTTCCCTCCCGCTGGCGTCCTCCTCTCCATTGAGATGCCTGGTGTCTCCCTTCATGCTTTCCTGTGGGATAAGCCAGAATGGGTGAGGTGGAAGGGAAGCACGGGCACAAGATGGGTAGTGTTCCCCAAGATGCCCTGCCATGGGCTCTATGTTCTCAGGCCCCAGGACGCATTCGCAGGGGGATGCTCTTGCCCAAGCACCCCACCCAGGCTGCCCCCCATAGCCTTCCTCTCACCAAGCTCGGAGGCTCAGGACTTGGTTCCATGTGGACAGTCTATCCCGAAGGCTCAGACACCAGCACCCAGGACAGAGGAGGGGCCAGGGCTAGGGTCTCAGGCTCAGACTGCGCTGTGCAGCTAGCCGGCCCCTTCAAACAATGCCATTTAGGACCTGTCTGCCCCGGCCTATCTGCCGCCAGCCTCTGTCCCCTCTGGCCCTGGCCCCTTCTCCCTGCTCAGCCTCTGCAGGGGCTCAGGAAGCCAGTGCATTATTTTCCCTCCTGACCCCTTTGTTTGCTCTCTCCCTTCCCCTCAATCTCCAGGTCCTCTTCCCACCCGTCCCCTCCTCCCCCACAGAACAGCTTCTCTCCTCTCCATAGCAGCACAAGCCCCGCCTCACCCCATCCTTCAGGGCCCATTGGTCTGCTGGCCTGTCGATCACTCCCCTCCTCCCTCACCAGCTGGGGCTCACAGTCCCAAGTTCCCAAGGAGGGAAGGATGAAGGAGGTACTGGCAGAAAGGGTAGGGGCAGTTAACAGGAGGGGCACTCCCCAGATCACTGTAGCCTCACCCTCACCTCTGGGACTTGGCCTACCCACTGCTGCCCCTCCTGGTCAGGTATATCAGCTAAGACACAGGGCCAGGGCCACACTGATGGCCTGGCAGGCTGTGTGACCTCTGGGCTTTCCCATTGCCTGCAACATTGTAGGCCCACAGATTTTGGTGGAGCCAAGAACCTGTACCTTCCCCTAGGGAGACTGAGGGGCTCACCTTATAGAAAAAGAAAACTGACATGCAGACTAGGTTATTCTCCATGGCTAAATGTCCCATTTAGGACGTGGGGCCAGGATTACAGAGAACGAGTAAAAAACTCCAAGGCATAAATGCCAGCTGAAACCGAGTTTTCCAATAGTCACTTGCCTTTGCTTTTTGTTCCACCTTTGGTTGGCAAAAATATTACAAAAGCCTTGGCACAATATGAGACTCCCAGGCCCCCATCCCTGAGCCCCAAACACCTCCAGGCCACTCACACCATATTCTCCTGCCTGGAACCCTGCCTGAGAAGAGCTTCCTCAATAAGCCGCTGCCCATATCCACCAGGCCTCCCTGCCTCTGGGCCCCATGTTGGAGACCCACTAGCCCCTGCCAGACAACCCATGCTAGCCTCGTCGTTTATCTTCCACTCATCCATCCACTCATCCATCCATCCATCCATCCATTCATCTTAGAGACAGGGTCTCACTCTGTCACCCAGGCTAGTGTCGTGGTATGATCATGGCTCCTTGCAGGCTTGAACTCCCGGGGCTTGAGTTATACTCCCACTGGTCCCACAGGTGTGCGCCACCACGCCCGGCTAATTTTTGTACAGACAGAGCCTGGCTACGTTGTTCAGGCTGGCCTTAAACTCCTGGCCTCAAGGGATCCTCCCACCTCAGCCTCAAAAACCAGCGTACCTTCTAGAAGCCACACCTTCTCCTATTGCTAGCTCCCAGCCACCCTGGCGCCCCGGCGCCACCGGTACCGCCCACCAGGGGGCGCTGTGGACCCAGTGGAGCCCACAGGCAGAGGTAGTGGCAGCCCCCAATCCCATGTCCTGCACCTGCCCATTGCATGGGGCAACTAGACCTCTGCTGCTACTCCCCGAGTGGCCCAGGGGTCAGCACCCTGGTTACAGCGCCAGCTACAATATCATCACCTGGGAGCTGGTTGGAAGAACTGCTGGAACTGGGAGCTGGTTGGAGAAATCTCAGGCACCAGGCTAGAGGTCTTGAAACAGGATTTTTTTTGAGATGGAGTAACTCTGTTGGCAGGCTGGAGTGCACTGAGGCAATCTCGGCTCTCTGCGACCTCCCCATCCCGGGTTCAGGCGATTCTCCTGCCTCAGCCTCCTTAGTAGCTGGAACTACAGGCACGTGCCACAATGCCCGGCTAATTTTTTGCATTTTTAGTAGAGATGGGGTTTCACCATGTTGGCCAGGACAGTCTCGATCAGTTGACTTCGTGATCCACCCGCCTCAGCCTCCCAAGGTGCTGGAATTACAGACGTAAGCCACCGCGCCCGGCCTGAAGCAGGATTTTCACAAGACATTTTAACACACACAAGTCATGCCTGGGTAATTAATATGCACATTAAAGCAGCATTGTTCAGATTATAAACATATGCGCTGATACACAGCATAGGCTTTCTGCGCCTCACATGATCCAGGGTGTGTGTCAGCACGTTAAGGAATTCCCCCCACCCCCCCCTCAAGGACAAGGGACATGCCTGAGTCAGACCAATCAGCTACTTCTCAGACCCTTTTCTCCCAAGCCCTGACCCGGAAGAACAGGCTGGTTGACCTATGGCCAGTTCCTATGAGACCTAGCAGCCAGAATCCCAGGAAAGCTACTGGAGTGTCAATTCAGAATAATTATTAATTTCAAGCGTTTTACCTCAGGCCAAATCAGTGAACTCAGTAACCTAGGGGGCCTGGCATAGAGTGGAAGGCAGGGCTACCTGGTGTGCATCTCCAGGAGGGTCTACCACCCCAAAGTACTCTGGTAGGAGGGAGGGGTCACACAGCATTTGTTTGCAGTCAGGAGATGGTGGCAGACCAGAGGACTGGACTGAAGGATGTGACCTCCTCAGCCTTCATCCGGAGTCCAGAGCTCTAATGTATGCTGGTTTCTCAGGCAGCATTGAACCCCAGTCCCCAGACAGCCCCTAACTGGGTCAACAAGAAGCCAGACAGGAGTCTCACTTCCTAGACAGACCCAGGCTGACAATGATTAACCACCTTGGGCCTACCCCCAGGGCCTCAGCAGTGCCAACTGGCCACCAGCCTACCCAATGTGTGGGCAGTGCACCCTCCAAACCCCATCTCAACATTCAGGAAAAGGTTTAAATGCCTAGAACAAGACCTGTGGGCACTATAAATGGCATCATCTACCTGGGTGCCCCCCAGGAGCGAGCTGAGCACTTACAAACGCTTCCTTCCCATTGCATAATTTAATGTGATTTTATTTAAAATTCGTTGTTTTTATCATGACCCTGTATTTGCGGTGAAATTACCCTCAATGCCTTACAGCCACAGCTGTATAGACAGTGCGCACCAGCTTCAGAACCCGTGACTGAATGATGCCCAGATCAATTCCTCCCCCACCCTCCTTCAGTCTATACACAGGCCAAACCAATCTAGCCTTGAGGCATGTGCTGCTGTGTTCTCTCAGCCTGGAAGCCCTCCCCAACTCCCTATACCTCCTGCTTCCTATTTCAGACTTCAAAACCCACAGCTCCAAATCCAGGAATAAAAGCTTTGCTCCTAGGCTCTTTCTCCTATGTATATAAATATATTAATCCCCCACCAATAATAAGGTCGTATGTTTTTCAGTGCTTAGTATGTGCCAGGCACTGTTTTCTGCTTTACCTATCTGAGATCATTTAATCTTTCAATATTGTAGGTACTATTACTCCTATTTTGCAGATGGAGAAACCGAGACAGAGATTAACATACCTCCTTGATTAATATATAGGGAAGCTACATAACACACAAATGTAACTATGTTCTTAGAATCAGGACAAGAGAAATGAACATCAGATGTGTAATGGCAGATACAAATCTCCCCCGCTTTTTTTTTCTTCTTGAGACAAGAGTCTGGCTCTGTTGCCCAAGCTGGAGTGCAGTGGTGCAATCACAGCTCACCACAACCTCCGCCTCCCAGTTTCAAGCGATTCTCCTGCCTCAGCCTCCCAAGTAGCTGGAACTACAGGCATGGGCCACCACGCCCAGTTATTTTTTTTTTGTATTTTTAGTAGACACAGGGTTTCTCGGTGTTAGCCAGGATGGTCTCGATCTTCTGACCTCGTGACCCACCCGCCTCAGCCTCCCAAACTGCTGGGATTACAGGCATGAGCCACCACACTCAGTCTCCCCCACTTCTTTCTTTGTACCTCAGTGACTTCATGATTCATCTGTCCTCAGGTGATCTGTCTGCCTCGGCCTCTCAAAGTGCTGGGATTACACGCGTGAGCCACCGCACCTGGCCTGTCTACCACCTCTTTTAACCCCCATCTATCCTGGGGTAGGTCTTATTATCTCCCTACCTTCAACAGGTTCAGATGAGTTAGGTCACCCAGCAAAGTGGCAGTGCCAAATCTCATGCCCAGGCAGTCCAGGGCACGTGCCTGGAACTGCCATAACCGAGACAGACAAGAATTACAGGAGTTACGAACAATGCATCACCCATCCCAAGGATGAAGGGAGCTTCATGGCTGAGACATGATACACCAGCTGGGCGTTTCCCTTCACAGGAGGCAGCTGCCTAACCTTGTGATGAGAGGTGAACTCTGACCCTTTCCCAGAGGCTGGGGTCCAGTGTGTGATTCTGGGATGGGAGCAGCCCTGGGTGGGCCCACCCGCAAGGTTCTCCCCCAGGGGCCTTTCTCATTAGTGCAGGGTGCCTGTGCCCTGACTGAACCAGGTCAGATGTGCTCAAATGCAATGTGGCAGACAGAGGGGTAGGTGGCACCCCCAATTAGACTCAGAGGAGGCTCAGGGACTTGCCCCAACCCAGCAATAACGCTGAGAACTGATGTCACTCATTTCCTCCAGGCTGACACTAGCAGCAGAGCTGTTTCACAGCACTTCGTAAATGTTAATTGCATTAATTAAACCACACAATGCAGGAAGGGGGGTCACTTTGGTATCTGCCCGTCCCCCTGGGGTACAGTAAAAATTAAAAATTAAAATTCTACATTCAGTGGAGAGTATTAATTTAAAGACAAAATAAATAAAAATTCCATCTCCACAGCTAAGTTAGAGAAATCTAGAGCCAGGTGCAGTGGCTCAAGTCTATAAGCCCAGCACTTTCCGAGGTAGAGGCAGGTGGATCACCTGAGGTTGGGAGTTCCAACTGGCCTGGCCAACATGGTGAAACCCTGTCTCTACTAAAAATACAAAAATGAGGCTGGGCTCACAGTTGTAATTCCAGCACTTTGGGAGGCGGAGGTGGGCAGATCACTTGAGGCCAAGAGTTGGAGACCAGCCCAGCCAACATGGCAAAACCCCATCGCTATAAAAATACCAAAAAAAAAAAAGTTAGTGGCCAGGCGCAGTGGCTCACACCTGTAATCCTAGCACTTTGGGAGGCTGAGGTGGGCGGATCACGAGGTCAAGAGATCGAGACCATCCTGGCCAACATGGTGAAACCCCATCTTTACTAAAAATACAAAAATTAGCTGGGTGTGGTGGCATGTGCCTGTAGTCCCAGCTACTCGGGAGGGTGAGGCAGGAGAATTGCTTGAACACAGGAGGCAGAGCTTGCAGTGAGCCGAGTTCACGACACTGCACTCCAGCCTGAAGCCTGAGCGAGACTGTGTCTCAAAAAAAAATTAGCTGGGTGTGGTGGCAGGTCCGTGTAATCCCAGCTACTCAAAAGGTTGAGGCAGGAGAATTACTTTTACCCAGGAGACGGAGGTTGCAGTGAGCAGGCTGCAGTGAGGCTGAGACGGTGCCAAGACACTCCAGCCTGGGCGGTAAGAACGAGACTCCATCTCAAAAACAAAAACGAAAAAGGAAATAATCAACACTGGAGACTCCAAAAAGAGGGGAGGATGAGAAGGAGCAAGGGCTGACAAATTACCTATCAGGTACAATGGTCACCATTTGTAATGGGTACATCAGAAGCCCAATCCCCACCGGTAAGTAGTATACCCATGCAACACACAAGCACATGTACTCCTTGAATCTAAAAAAGATTTTAAAAAGTCACCACAAAACAATGGAGTAAGTAGCTGTAAAGTTTAAGCCCAGGAGGGAGACCAAACCTAGGTGAAGCTGGGAGAGGGAAGGATCCAGGCAGCAGGGCAGCACATCCAAAGAAAAGGGGGCCAGAGGCGGGCTGTCTACACTGCCGGTGGCAGAACTCGTGACGGAAAACAAGGCCCCAGTTCTGTACTTTTGTCTGATAAGGAACTTACCCTCAATTGCAGAAAACATCAGATTTACAGGAAAGCAGTTTTAAAAAAGGCTGCCGGGTACAGTGGTCACACCTGTAATCCCACCACATTGGAAGGCCAAGGCTTGAGCTCAGACTCAGGAGTTCAGCGCCAGTCTGGCAACACAGCAAGACCTCTCCTCTATTAAAATATTTTTTAAAACTAGCTGACTGTGTTGGCATGTCCCAACACAGTAGTCCCAGCTACTTGCCTGTAGTCCCAGCTCCTCAGAGGCTGATGGGGAACAATCACCTGAGCCTGGGAGATTGAGGCTAAAGTAAACTATGGTCACGCCACCATACTCTAGGCCCAGCAACAGCCCAAGACCCTGTCTCAAAAAACAAAAAACTCCCATTATTTTTCTCAAACCCTAGTTTTGTTATCCGTGAAATAAAGTAACACACCTGATTCACTAGGAAGTTGGTGCCAAGAACCCCTACACAGATGACACAGGCATGACACCTGAAGTCACTTATTCTCATGTGCCATCTTGCTCCCTGCCAACACCAACCCACAAGGCCAATCAAGAAGTATCCACCCTGTCACCCTCCACAATTCAGAATGTGTTTGGCAAATTGGTCAGTGCAAGAAAAAAAAGAAAGAAATGTGTCCAAGTAGGGAGAAAGCAGACAAGTGGCTATGAGCATATGTCGGGGTCCGGCACGTCTGCCGGGGGACTACCGACCAGCGGGAGTCCCCAAGACCACCAACGTAGATGTCTCATTCAACCTGAGAGAGAGAGTGCGCGGAAGTGAAAGAATATAGAAAAGTGGAGTCTGGAGGGCTGCATGAAGCATACCCCTTGGAGGGCTGTTCATGACACCCAAATACAGTCAGATGTTTGTCAGTGCATTGGAATAAAAACCTATACCATTACCTTTTAGATAAGCAACAGGGAAAAAAAACCTAGGAGCATAAAGATCTGAAAAGCTATGACAGTTAACTGTAGAGTCTGAACTTTTTTTTTTTTTGAGACGGAGTTTCGCTCTTGTTACCCAGGCTGGAGAGCAATGGCGCCATCTCGGCTCACTACAACCTCCGCCTCCTGGGTTCAGGCAATTCTCCTGCCTCAGCCTCCTGAGTAGCTGGGATTACAGGCACGCGCCACCATGCCCAGCTAATTTTTTGTATTTTTGGTAGAGACGGGGTTTCACCATGTCGACCAGGATGGTGTCGATCTCTTGACCTCGTGATCCACCCGCCTCAGCCTCCCAAAGTGCTGGGATTACAGGCTTGAGCCACCGCGCCCAGCCTGAGTCTGAACTTTTTGCCCTTTATACATATAATACAAGCACCCAGCCCCTTCCCCTGCACCCACTTTGAGAATCACCTGAAGGGTATGGCAGCCCCATGGAGTGGTCAGTGGTAACTCAGAGAATAAGGAGCAGCACAGAAGCAGAAGCCTAGACAGGGCGTGGTGGCTCCTGCCTGTAATCCCAGCACTTTGGGAGTCCAAGGAGGGCAGATCACAAGGTCAGGAGTTCAAGACTAACCTGGCCAACATGGTGAAACCCATTCTCTACTAAAAAATACAGAAATTAACCAGGCGTGTTGGCTTGCACCTGTAGTCCCAGCCTACTCAGGAGGCTGAGACAGGAGAATTGCTTGAACCTGGGAGGCGGAGGTTGCAGTGAGCAAACATCACAATACTGCACTCCAGCCTGGGCAACAGAGCAAAATTCCATCTAGAAAAAAAAACAGCAGAATCCTAGACACTGCCATACCCACTTCCTGTGGCCACCTACCCCTTGACAAAACCAGAGTCCAAAGCTCTCTGTCACCTCTGAAGGGGGCAAAGGAGGATAATGTTCTGGAAACAGATCCCCTCACCTTGGCCCCTCCCTCACAGTGGGCCGCGCCTGTGGCTTCAACTAAGAATGCCTTAAATCTCAAGTCTAAATATCTACACTGTATTTAGTGATCTTAAGTCTAAATACCTACACAGCAGCAATGCTGGTTCAGCCTTTGAGATGGTGATCCTGACAGTGTCGTCTAAAATGCCTAATGTCTGTACCCTGTTACACAGGATTCTACTGCTCAGAAACCACTCAGCTCAAAGCTCTCGCCAAGTCTTCTGTGCAAGGTCACTGCAGTCCCGTTTGTCATAGCGAACACTGCAATCAAATCACAGTCAAAAGGACAGGTTAACTCAATTACCTGCCTCCACAATAGGGGGCAAAGAGTACAGTTCCTATTGTTAGACAAAGTTATGTAAAGTGAAAACAAGAAACCTGCATAATACAGTATCAATTATTAAGGTTCAAGCCATTTCTCTTCAGCATTTCTTTCCTAGCTATAAAAATTTGTGGTCAGAAGGGAGGTTTCGAAGCTAACTAGCTTAAGACCACGTCACTTTTACAATCAGAAAATAGACATAACTCGCCTGTCCAAGAAACATGTATTTGAATTAGGCCATTCAGGTTTAATCAACATAATTAATCATTTACATATGGTATGAGGTAGGGACCCAGTATTTTCCCCAACAAGGAAAGCCAGACACCTATGAATACATCCCAACTCTATCTCTTATATGAACTTCCCATATATATGTGGGATGTTTTGAGGCTCACTTTTCTATTTGGTATTTATCCTTTGCCACTACTTTTATTTTTTTTTATTTTTATTTTTTGAGACGGGGTCTCACCTTACCATTTTTTGGCTTTTTTCCTTTAACGCAGTCTCACTCTGTTGCCCAGGCTGGAGTACAATGGTGCAATCTCAGCTCACTCTGCCTCAGCCTCCCGAGTAGCTGTGACTACAGGCACCCACCATCATGCCCAGCTAGTTTTTGTATTTTTAGTTGAGGCAGGGTTTCACCATGCTGACCAGGCTGGAGAAAAATGGCGTCATCTCGCTCACAGCAACCTCTGCCTCCGAGGTTCAAGTGATTCTCCTGTCTCAGCCTCTTGAGTAGCTGGGATTACAGTCACACAGCCACCACGCCCTGCTAATTTTCTATTTTTAGTAGAGATGGGGTTTCTCCATGTTGGTCAGGTTGATCTCAAACTCCTGACCTCAGGTGATTCGCCTACATCAGCCTCCCAAAGTGCTGGGATAACAGGCGTGAGCCACCACGACCAGCCTCATTGCCACTACGTTTTTTTTTTTTTTTTTGAGACAGAGTCTTGCTCTGTCACGAGGCGCCAGGCTATAATACAGTGGCGTGATCTCAGCTCACTGCAACCTCTGTTTCCCAGGTTCAAGCAATTCTCCTGCCTCAGCCTCCCGAATAGATGGGACTACAGGCGTGTGCCACCACCTCAGCTAACTTTTGTATGTTTTTAGTAGAGACGGGGTTTCACCATGTTGGCCAGGATGGTCTCAATCTCTCGATCTGATCTGCCTGCCGCAGCCTCCCAATGTGCTGGGATTACAGGCATGAGCCACCGTGCCCGGCCCGTTGCCACTACTTTTAATCATTACAACTGCTAGAGCAAGCCTGCTAGCCTTGTTGAAAAGTTCATTTGGCCGGGCACGGTGGCTCACGCCTATAATCCCAGCACTTTGGGAGGCCAAGGCGGGTGGATCACAAGGTCAAGAGATCGAGACCATCCTGGTCAACATGGTGAAACCCTGTCTCTACTAAAAATACAAAAATTAGCTGGGCATGGTGGTGTGCGCCTGTAGTCCCAGCTACTCGGCAGGCTGAGGCAGAAGAATTGCTTGAACCCAGAAGGCAGAGGTTGCGCTGAGCCGAGATCATGCCATTGCAGTCCAGTCTGGGTAACAACAGTGAAACTCCATCTCACAAAAAAAAAAAAGAAAGAAAAGTTCATTTTCTCCCTTTAGTTTGTGGTCTCTCATTGCCCGTTCTCTTCCAGTGTCTAGATTTCTTTAAGGGAGCTTAGTTCTACCTACAGACAAAGACACAGCACATTTGTGTGTGTTTGTTTGAGACGACGTTTTGCTCATCGCCCAGGCTGGAGTGTAATGGCGCAGCTCACTGCAACCTCCGCCTCCCAGGTTCAAGCAATTCTCCTGCCTCAGCCTCCCAAGTAGCTGGAATTACAGGTGCCTGCCACCATACTCAGCTAATTTTTTTGTGTTTTTAGTAGAAATGGGGTTTCAACATGTTGGCTGGGATCACTTGAAATCCATTCAGATATGAGTTCTCCCAGGCTTCAGGAACCATGATAGGAATTAGGAATCCAAGGCAGGCAAAGGACCAGGTACGGTGGTTTATACCTGTAATCCCAGCACTTTGGGATTATACTTGATCCCAGGAGTTTGAGACAAGCCTGGGCAATATAGCAAGAGCCTATCTCCATAAAAAATTTTAAAATTACCCAAGCCTGGTGGCTCTCACCTATAGTCCTAGCTACTCAGGAGGCAGCTGAGGTTGGAGGAATCACTGGGTCACAGGAGTTCAAGGCTGCAGTGAGCCATGATCGCACACTGCACTCCGGCCTGGGCGACAGAGTGAGCTATGTTGCCATGCTGCCAGGGCCCAGTGCTGTACTGGCTGCAGGGAACACTGACAACAAAGGCATCAGCACTTCTGCAGGAGCTAGGGGCCCAGTGACAGCCTAGGTTGCAGCCCCAGCTCTGGCCCCAGCACACACACATACAACAAGACCCAAATGTTGCTAGACGCCAGAAAAGCCTAGAGGCCTTTTTCCAAAGGAAGAGTTAGATCCTCGACTTCCAATCCCCTCCCTCAGCCTCCTGCTCTGGAGACAACCACTCTTCTTCAGCCACCCAGGCTGAGGCTCTGGACAAGAACATGAGACAGCTGAGCACAGCAGCTCACACCTATAGTCCCAGCACTTTGGGAGACTGAGGCAGGAGGTCTGCTTCAGCCTAGGAGTTTGAGACCAGCTGGGGCAACATTGTGAGACTTTGTCTCCACAAAAAATTTTTTAAATTAGATGGGCATTCAGCAGATTTCAGGATTTGAGCTAAAAAGAAAAACGAAATAAAGTAAAATTAGATTGGCATGGTGGCACCTGCTAGGGTCCTAGCTACTCAGGAGACTCAGGAGGATCCTGGAATAAGCCCAGGAGTTCAAGGCTGCAGTGAGCTATGACCACACCACTGCACTCCAGCCTGGGTGACAATGCGAGACTTGTCTCAAAAGAAATGATTTTTAAAAAAAAGAACACAAGAGGTTACATACTGGGACAAAGGGAGGAACAGATGCCAAACTGCGACCTCGCCAGTCCCCTGGCCCTGAAGCCAGACCTGTACTTCTCAGGGCACTGGAAAATTGAGTATCCCTTAATACTGGAGGGAACAATAAACCCTAGAATATTCTCAGGCAGATAAATGAAGTTATATTCGTTAAACAAGACAAGGACCCCATTAAAAATTGAATTTGGGTGTGTTGGCTCATGCCTATAATCTCAGCACGTTGGGAGGCTGAGGAAGATAAATTGCTTGAGTCCAGGAGTTTGAGACCAGCTTGAGGAATGAGGTGAAACCCTATCTTTACAAAACATACAAAAATTAGCCAGGCATGGTGATGCCTGCCTGAAAGTCCCAGCTACTGGGGAGGCTGAAGTGGGAGGATTGCTTGAGCCCAGAGAAGTCAGAGGTTGCAGTGAGACTGCAGCACATTGCACCACTGCGCTTTAGCCTGGGTGACAGGAAAGACCCTGTCTCAAAAAAAAAGTTAAACATATAGGACAAGAACTCTTTGGCCGGGCGTGGTGGCTCACGCCTATAATCCCAGCACTTTGGGAGGCCGAGGCGGGTGGATCACGAGGTCAAGAGATCGAGACCATCCTGGTCAACATGGTGAAACCCCGTCTCTACTAAAAATACAAAAATTAGCTGGGCATGGTGGCGCGTGCCTGTAATCCCAGCTACTCAGGAGGCTGAGGCAGGAGAATTGCTTGAACCCAGGAGGCGGAGGTTGCGGTGAGCCGAGATTGTGCCATTGCACTCCAGCCTGGGTAACAAGAGCAAAACTCAGTCGCAAAAAAAAAAAAAAACCTCTTCAAAAGAGAAAAGTCAAAAGTTCATATAGACCAGGTGTGGGGGCTCATGCCTGTAATCCTAGCACTTTGGGAGGCCAAGGCAAGCAGATCACTTGAAGTTAGTTAGGAGTTTGAGACAAGCCTGGGCCACATGGTGAAACCACATTTCCAGAAAAAATATAAAAATTAGCTGGGTGTTATAGCTGCTGCCTGTAATTCCAGCTACTCATGACGCTGAGGTACTAGAATCACCGGAACCTGAGAAGTAGAGGTTTCAGTGAGCCAAGATTGCACCACTGTATTCCAGCAGTCTGAGCAACAGAGACTCTTCTCAAATATAAAAAAAAAGGGGTCAGACTGTGGCTTATGTCTGTAATCCCAGTACTTTGGGAGACCAAGGCAGGTGGATCACCTGAGGTCAGGAGTTTGAGATCAGACTGGCCAACATGGTGAAACCCTGTCTCTACTAAATATACAGAATTAGCTGTGCACGGCGGCGGGCACCTGTAATCCCAGCTACTTGGGAGGCTGAGGCAGGAGAATCGCTTGAACCTGGGAAGTGGAAAACTTGCAGTGAGCTGGGATAGCGCCACTGCACTCCAGCCTGGGTGACAGAGTAAGACTCTGTCTCCAAAAAAAAAAATTTATTTAGGCCGGGCGCAGTGGCTCATGCCTGTAATCCCAGCACTTTTGGGAGGCTGAGGCAGGTGGATCACGAGGTCAAGAGATCGAGACCATCCTGGTCAACAAGGTGAAACCCCGTCTCTACTAAAAATACAAAAATTAGCTGGGCATGGTGGCGCGTGCCTGTAGTCCCAGCTACTCGGGAGGCTGAGGCAGGAGAATTGCTTGAACCCAGGAGGCGGAGGTTGCGTGAGCCGAGATCATGCCACTGCACTCCAGTCTGGGTAACAACAGCAAAACTCCGTCTCAAAAAAAAAAAAAGATTCATTTAGAAGATTTAGAAGCTTAGAACTATTGCTTAGAATGAAAAATATAAGGACAAAAGTTCAAAGAAAATTCCATCAGGCCAGAACACTCAACATCTAATAAGAGTTACAGATTTTAAACAGGAAAATCACAATGTGATGATCTAAGGGATTTATTCCCTCAAACTTAGGATGGGAGCTCCCACACACCTCCCACTCTTTTCTCTGCACCACTCCCCACACACACCTGGTCAACATCAACCTCTCACCTCTCCCAGAAAGGAAATTTATTGGCTAAGAATCTTTTCCCACTGTCTTCTGTTTCTCTCTCGCTCACCCATCAACTCGTATTTTCTGGAAAATGTCTTTCTAATTTCCTGCTTACAGTCTTTCAGTGGCTACCACTTTCCTCCAAGTTTCAAAGGTTTTAAAAGATCATTTTATGAAAAACTTGGTCAAAGTTTACTCTTTGATCGGCAAAATTAAAAAGCAAGGAGAGAGAAGGCAGAGACTTAAGAGCAGACTTCATACCTAGACTATTGTGTTTGAATCAATGAAAAAAATCTGAGTGAAAAGTGACTTAGAAGCCATGCATGGTGGTAGCTCATGCCTGTAATCCCAATCTTTTGGAAGGCTGAGGCAAAAGGATCGTTGAACCCAGGCTTTCAAGAATAGCAATGGCAACATTGTGAGACCTTGTCCTTATTAAAAAAATGTAGCCAGGTACAGTGACTCACGCCTGTAATCCCAGCACTTTGGGAGGTCAAGGCAGGCATATCACGAGTTCAGGAGTTCGAGACCAGCCTGACTAAATGGTGAAACCCCATCTCTACTAAAAATACAAAAATTAGTCAGGTGAGGTGGTATGCACCCGTAATCCCAGCTACACAGGAGCTGAAGCAGAATTGCTCGAACCTGGGAGGCAGAGGTTGCAGTGAGCTGAGATCATGCCACTACACTCCAGCCTGGGTGACAAGAGCAAAAACTCCATCTCAAAAAAAATTAAACATATTTATATATACACACACACACACACACACACACACACACAGTTTTTTTTTTTTCTTTTTTAACCAAGGTCTCTCTCTGTCACCAAGGCTGGAGAGCAGTGGCAGCTTCACTGCAACCTCAGCCTCCAGGGTTCAAGCAATTCTTTTGCCTCAGCCTCTGAGTAGCACAGATGACAATCACACCTGGATAATTTTTGTATTTTTTGTAGTGTCAGGGTTTTACCACATTGGCCAGGCTGGTCTTGAACACCTGGCCACCAGCCTCAGTCTCCCCATGTGCTCAGATTATGGATGTGAGCCACCACACCCAGTCTAAATATATATATATACACACACACATACCTACATTTAAAAAGTGGCCGGTGCGACGGCTCATGCCTGTAATCCCAACATTTTGGGAGGCTGAGGCAGGTGGATCACTTGAGGTCAGGAGTTTGAGACTGGCCTGGTCAACATGATGAAACCCTGTCTCAACTAAAAATACAAAAAGTAGCGGGCGTGGTGGCAAGTGCGTGCAATCCCAGCTACTCAGGAGGTTGAGACAAGAGAATCGCTTGAACCCAGGAGGCTAACGTTGCAGTGAGCTGAGATCGCACCACTGCAATCCAGCCTGGGCGACAAAGTGAGACTGTCTCAAATAAAAAATAAATAAAAAGAAAGAAAGAAAATGCTCATCACCAAGGTTTAATAGTCCCTATATCTTCCAGAGCCTCAGATCTATCACCTGTAAAAGGGTCCCAGTGAGAACATGAGTCCCCCAACAAAAAGGGAAACATGTCTTTTTACAAAGACAGTAGCCTGTACATGAAATGAATTCCACACTTCACCAGCCCTAGTCCACCATGAAACTGGAAATCATCCTGAAAATTCATGATTTAAAAGAAAAACTCCACTCAATTAGTAGTATGTGCCTGGACTGAGCATGTGTGGGGGGTAGAGAACGCAGACTTGTGTCTCTGAAAAGCTTCACACTTAGCAAAGACTATTTCAGAAGAAACTGGAAAAGGCGTCTGAGCCTGGAGGTGAGGTAGCCGTCATGAGAGCTGGTCTAGGAAAAGGAACCCCAAGGTAAGTTTTCCCTGAAGGAGAACTTGCCCAAGTCCCCACTGGAAGCAGGCCCATGGGACTGCAATAATGAGGGGCGACAGGCGCCTCTGGATCACAGGCCCCACGTGGCTGGAGGAAGGGAAGGAAACAGCCTCCCCAATCCCACCTCCCTGACTCCTCCCTTAACCCCCTGCAGCTCCCAGATACCGCCTTCCCCTCCCCCCATCCTTTGCAAGGGGTGGGTGTTATGTCTATAAGAGCTGGATGCCACTGGCCCCAGCCCTGGCCCCTTTGTCTTAGCACTGCCCACTCCAAAGGGAAAAGGTAAAGGATCTCACTTAGTTCTGCAATTACACCTTTGCAGTAGGCCCCAAGCTTGGCTGGGAGGGCTTTAAAAATGGCCCCAACCCATAAAACAGAACCAAGACTCCGTTGGAAATGGAACAAAGGCAGTTCTTCCTGCCAACTCCCTAATCATGGACAATGATTGGGAAGAGCCTTCAGAGCTGAGAAAGGAATTGCCTATCTTCGTGAAGGCAGGAAAAGGAGAGGATGACAGGGGTGATTCCCTCCATCCTCAAATCTCAGGAATGGCCATCCTAAAATGAGGGGCTATTGGTTATTAAGTACAGACATCAACACTCATCCTTTGCTGATCCTACACAGGCACCATCCCGGTGCGCCTTTACCCAGGCCCAGTGTGGTAGAGCCTATTACACCTCAACATCTGAGAAAGATCAAGGGCTGAGGTTAATTCGCGCATAAAACTGGTTTCATCCTTACACAACCCTATTAGTAGAACTGTTGCTAATTCACAGATGTAATATTTAAGGCACGGAGGGCCAGGAACTTGGCGAAACAGGGTTTAAACACATGCTGAAGAATTAAGAATTACGCTACCCTAAGGAAGGAAGCTTGCGTAGCCCACGTGCTAGCTAATGATTCCAACAATGGCAAACATGTATTGAGTACTTACTGTATACCAACACTATAAACGTAAGTACCATCATCTCAACTCTGGAAAAATCAAGTCCGCACTGGCGTTCCCAAGGTGGGTGAACAAGAAGCCCCAGCAGGCCTGGTGGAGGAGATAAGAGCTGTCTCCCAAAAACTGCCACCCGTCCGCCAAAACCCACCGCATCCAGAACTCAGGAGGCAGCTCCACGTTCATACTGTCCTTAATTCCCTTTAGTTCAAACACTTCCCAGCTTCGGGGGAGGGTGGAAACACGAGGGCCCAAGGGAGCCTCTCTCCTAGACCAGGGGCTAGGCTCAGAACTCCAGCCACAGGTGAGACCCTCCAGCGGGGAGCTTGGGACCAAGGGCCACTTGTTAGGTCCTTCTCCGCTTCCACTTTCTCCCGGATAACGTGGGACTCAATAACCCCTCCCCATACAACCAGGAGCCGGGGAGTTTATCTTCCAGGAACTGGTGGTAGAGGTTTTGTGGCCTCAGCGTGCGAGTCTGGGAAGTGGAGCCAGCCGCACCCGGGAGTTAGGCTAAGAATGGAAAGTAAGTTCCCAGGGTAGGCGGCGTGGCCCGGGGAGGGAGGCGCCGCCCCTCCGGCCGCCTCGTCCTGGGCCAGGTAGGTACAGGGAGAGGGCAGCCCCGCTGCCCAAGCTCGGGAGTACCCCGGGAGGTCGCCCTCCGGCTCAACCCCGACACGCGCGCACACCCCGGTCCGCGCCACTGTAAGCCCACACCCACGGGCTCTTTCCTAAAGTAAGTTTGGGGGAACGGACAGCGTCTCGCCTGAAGCCCCCGCATCCTAGTCACAGGGGGCGGACGCCCACCTGCATGGCAGAAACCCCTCCTCACCTCTCCCGCCCCTTAACCCTTCCCGAAGCGGAGGCCAGGTGAGTGTACCCCCTGCCCGTGACCAAAGCCCCGACTCACGCTCCCGCGGGACACCTTCTCCCCCTGGAGTCTGGGCCCCGAGAGGCCAGCGCGTTCCCCTCCCTGAGAGGAGCTTCTCTCCGACTCCTGGAGGCAGAGGCGTCCCTTCCTCTCGTATCCCCGGTCCCCGTCAGAGGTCTGTCCCTGCTTCCCACCCGCGGCCCCCGTCCACCCCAAGCAGGGTCCCGGACGTCTCCTCACCCACCCCCCCCCAGCCCAGCCCGGTCTCCAGCCTGGTGGGAGCCCCTCCTCGAGAGGTCCCTAGAGAGGGTCAGTCCCCGGCAGTGCGGGAGCCCCCCGCCGTCCCCTCCCCCAGCAGCCCCAGAGCCGCGGGGCGCTCACCTGCCGCGGGGCTAGCTCGGGCGCGGCTGCGGATTGGGGCGGGCTGGGGCGGGAGGCCGGCGGGCGGCCGCGCAAGGCGCTGGGCTAGCGAATCTCCGGCGCCGATCACCGAACTAGGTTTACTTGGGCCACTTAACCCCCGCGGTGCCGTCCGGGCGCGGCCGCCCGCTCGCCCGCCCGCCAGGGAGCCGGTCCTGTCCGTCGGGGGGCGCTCGGAGCGTCCACGCGGGCTGCGGCCGCGGAGCCGGGAGCCGCGGCTGTGAGCGAGCGGCGCAGGCCGGACGGGGCAGCGGGAGTGGGTGGGGCGGGGGCGGTGCCGACTCCCCTTGTAGCCCTGGCCCAGCCCTCGCCCCGCCCCCGCCCGGGGGCGCCCCCGCCACAGCCACTCAGATCACAGCACGGGCGCGGGGGGAACGCGAGGGGCGGGGACGAGGGAAATTTGAAATCGCTCGGAGCCTCCCCTCCGCCCCTCTCCGCGGGCCCCGCCCCCTGGCCTACTGCCCCCGGCCTTGGGCCAGTTATATCAACCTGGGGGCATCAGAAGCCCTAAGTGGGAGGGGATTAAGACATCCTAAAGCGGCCTGTTTCTGGGCTTCTTTTCCCAGGACCCCTTCCACCCTCCCGGAAACACGCAGGCCTGGAGGTGGGTGCTCAGAGAGGGCAGGGCCCCCACTGGAGTCACACAGCACCGGAGCCTCCTCTTTAAACCCCATATCCAGCCGCAGTGCCACGGGGGCGCCGTGGAGCCCCTGCCGGTCATCCTGCCTTGGACCCTCTGCCTCGCCCGCCCTCCCTTCCTTCCACCCAGCCCGGCCTTTGTCAGCCATCTTGAAGGGAGGAGAGGCCAGGGGACGGGAAAGACCAGCGGGTCTCTGGCTACCTGGGTTCCAGGCTCTGCAGACATGGACAGGCTGAGGGAGAAGCTGTAGTCAGCAGGTCTCCCCACCTCTATCCTGAGATGACCATTGAACCGCTGGAAAACAACACTTCCTAAAGTTTATCTGCCTGGGACTTACATATTTGCTTGTTAACCTGCTTATGGTCTATCTCCATGCAGTAAACTAAGGACATGGTCTCAGTAGTTGTTCAATAAATATGAGTTGAATGAATGAATGAATGAATGAATGAACAAGTGAATGATTTGTATCGCCCACCAGCCCCTATATGAGCCTGCCCTGCCTACCTTTCCAGGTATCTCCTATCTTAACCCCTCTCTGTCTTCACTCCAGCTTCTCTGCTGCTCCTCAATAGACTAAGCATTTCGTTTTGATGGTGCCTTTGACCTCACTCTTTCCTGCTTACATCTGGACATTCTTTGCCCAGATCTTCACAGGACCAGCTTCTTACCCCTCAGTTTTCTCCCAAACGGTTACTTTCCAGAGACTTTTCCTGAAGTCTCCCCTGTCCATCACTCCTATCCTATTTCATTCTGTTCCTAGCATTTATAGCGATCTGAAATTGCTTTGTGTATCTCTTATTTTCCTGTTTACATCCCCCTACACAAACACACACACACACACACACACCCCACACATACACTATGGAAGCAGAAACCACATCTGTGTGTGTCTCCAAGTGCTTAACAATAGGTGGGGGATGCATCAAAAAGAAGCTCAATACAAGTTTGTTGAATGAATGAGCAGGGGTTTCCTGCCTTCTGGGCTCCAGCTCCCTGAGTTACTCCACAGCTTTCTCCCTGTATCTCTTACCAGGTGAGTAAATGAGTAAATGGCTAATTTTCTGGATGCTACAAAAGTATCTAAACTTACTGGATCTAATTCTATCTAACAGCTTGGGGAGAGACTAAGGAGATACCAGTGAGAAATTAGCTCAGCTCAGTGTCCTGCCTGGCACCCAGCATGGCAACTTGTGAATGAACAGCAGGAACTCGTTGGCTTTCTGGCACAAACATACAAATTGGGCTCCAGTCCATTGGTGCAGGAAGAAGGGGTTCTCTGGAGAGGGCCTGTAGCTTGCCTCCACCATCTGGGGCATATCTTTATGGAAAAGAAAACAACATCTATAAACAGGTCTATGGGGAGGGCTCCTGGGCCTCTGTGTCTGAACCCTAAGCTAGGAACACACATCTAAACTCTGTGTCCTGAATTCTGGCAGAGGATGCCAGAGGTGCCACCACTAGGAACTCCTGGGAGGTCTAGTTCAGATGCCAAAGAGCCGGGTTTTCTAGGACCACCTAAACCCAGGAAGAAAAAGAGAAAGTTGGGGCACAGTGGCACATGCCTGTAATCCCAGCAGTTTGGGAGGCTGAAGTAGATGGATCACCTGACGTCAGGAGTTCAAGATCATTCTGGCCAACATGGTGAAAACCCATCTCTACTAAAAATACAAAAATTAGCCCGGTATGGTGGCGCGAACCTGTAGTTCTAGCTACTCGAGAGGCTGAGGGAGGAGAATCCCTTGAACCCAGGAAGTGAAGGTTGTAGTGAGCCGAGATCACCCCACTACACTCCAGCCTGGGCAACAGAGCAGGACTCCTTCAAAAAAAAAAAAAGACTTTCAGGAGTTTATTGAACTAGTCTTACAACTCTTCTATAAATTAGAGATTCTATTAAGTAAAAATTCATTCTTCAAAAAATTAAGGGCCAGGCACGGTGACTCCTGCCTGGAATCACAGCACTTTGAAAGGCCAAGGTGGGAGTATCGCTTGAGCCCAAGAGTTTGAGACCAGCCTGGGCAACACAGTGTGACTGCATCTCTAAAATAAAATAAAATAACATGTATATATGTACATGTGTACATATCTATATATACATCCTAGATGCTCATGCTAATAAATCAACACACTGATGGGAGGACACCCATGTTGTAGTTAACTTACATTTCTGTTAAATTACACCATCACCTTTCAGCTCTTAGAGCAGGTATAGATTTTTTATAACAAATGTAAAGTGCTTAGCACAGTCCCTGCTGCATAATATACACTTAATGTATGGTAGAAACTTTTGTGAGCATTTGATGCTACCTCTCTATGCCACAATTTCTTCATCCTTATTTTTCTTTCTTTTTTTAAGATGGGTTTCTTTTTTTTTTTTTTTTTTTTTTTGAGACAGAGTTTCGAGTTTGTTACCCAGGCTGGAGTGCAATGGTGCGATCTCGGCTCACCGCAACCTCCGCCTCCTGGGATCAGGCAATTCTCCTCCCTCAGCCTCCTGAGTAGCTGGGACTACAGGCACGCGCCACCATGCCCAGCTAATTTCTGTATTTTTAGTAGAGACGGGGTTTCACCATGTTGACCAGGATGGTCTCGATCTCTTGACCTCGTGATCCACCGGCCTCAGCCTCCCAAAGTGCTGGGATTACAGGCGTGAGCCACCGCGCCTTAAGACGGGGTTTCACCATGTTGGTCAGGCTGGTCTTGAACTTCTGACTTCAGGTGATCTGCCCACCTTAGCCTCCAAAGTGCTTGGATTACAAGCGTGAGCCACCACGCCCGGACTCTTATTTTTATTTTTTATTTTTTGTTTTTCTTTGTTTGTTTTTTGGGGTTTTTTTTCTTTTTTTGGAGATGGAGTCTTGCTCTTGTTGCCCGGGCTGGAGTGCAATGATGCAATCTCAGCTCACCGCAAACTCTGCCTTCCAGGTTCAAGTGATTCTCCTGTCTCATCCTCCCGAGTAGCTGGGACTACAGGCGCACAACACCATGCCCAGCTAATTTTTTATATTTTTAGTAGAGATGGGGTTTCACTATGTTGGTCAGGCTAGTCTCAAACTCCTGACCTCAGGCAATCTACCCACCTCAGCCTCCCAAAGTGCTGGGATTACAGGTGTGAGCCACCGTGTCCCACCTTGTTACTTTTTTTGAGACGGTCTCTCTCTGTTGCTCAGACTGGAGTGCAGTGGTGTGATCTTGGCTTGCTGCAACCTCTGCCTCCCAGGTTCAAGTGATTCTTCTGCCTCAGCCTCCCACGTAGCTGGAATTACAGGCATGGGCCACCACGCCCAGCTTGTTTTTCATCTTTTTAGTGAAGATGGGGTTTTGCCATGTTGGCCAGGTTGGTCTCAAATTGCTGACCCGGAGTGATCCACCTGCCTCAGACTACCAAAGTGCATCTTTAAAATGGAGATAATTTTACCTACTTCCTAGGATTGTCCTGAGAATTATGAGTTAATACATGTAAGGCATTTTGAACAGTATCTAGGACATCGAAAATACCATAAAAATGCTTGTTAAGGCCGGGTACAGTGGCCGATGCCTCGAATCCCAGCACTCTGGGAGGCCGAAGTGGGTGGATCACCTGACGTCAGGAGTTTGAGACCAGCCTGGACAACATGGTGAAATCCCGTCTTTATTAAAAATACAAAAATTAGGCTGGGCGCGGTGGCTCAAGCCTGTAATCCCAGCACTTTGGGAGGCCGAGGCGGGTGGATCATGAGGTCAAGAGATCGAGACCATCCTGGTCAACATGGTAAAACCCCGTCTCTACTAAAAATACAAAAAATTATCTGGGCATGGTGGCGTGTGCCTGTAATCCCAGCTACTCAGGAGGCTGAGGTGGTAGAATAGCTTGAAACCAGGAGGCAGAGGTTGCGGTGGGCTGAGATCACGCCATTGCACTCCAGCCTGTGTAACAAGAGCGAATGCTCTGTCTCAAAAAGAAAAAAAAATACAAAAATTAGCCAGGCGTGGTAGCAGGCACCTGTAATCCCAGCTATTCAGGGAGCTGAGGCAGAAGAATGGCTTCAACCTGGGAGGTGGAGGTTGCAGTGAACCACTGCACTCCAGCCTGGGTGACAGAGTGAGACTCCCTCTCAAAAACAAACGAACAAACAAAAATGCTTCTTAAATGAAATATATATTATTACTATTAATGAGTACATGCTGCACTGCTTTCCTGGCTGCCTCAGCTCTTGGCAGGTGCAGAAATGAATGTTCTCCCTCCATTCTCAGTGTCTGCCAAATCCCAGCCGCTTAGGCAAACCCAGTCCACCTTTAGCATCTAGTATCTAGTGCCCCTCCTTACAGTCAAGGAAAATGAGGTTCACAAAAGTGAAGTGGTTTGCCTGAGAGCCACAGCTGGCAGAGCTGGGACTATATCCCCACTCGACCCCATCTCCCAGTCACCCCCACTGTGTGTGCTATGCTAAGGAGTTTGGGGATCAAGCACCTCCCTTGTCTAATTGGAATAATAATAATAATGACCATGCCTACTTCCCAGAATAACTGTGGGAATTTGCCAAGCCCATGTATGTGAAAGAACCCCATTGTAAGGTATTCAGTCCTAATGGTAGTGCCATTAGAGGCCACGTTCATTTGCAAAGTGGGTTCCTCACCTTTCATTTTCAGCAAGAACACCCAGACTCCTTTTCTCCGTTTTTCAACCCCAAAACGGGTCATTAAAATATTTTTCTTTGTTTGTTTGTTTGTTTGTTTTTTGTTTTGAGACGGAGTTTCGCTCTTGTTACCCAGGCTGGAGTGCAATGGCGTGATCTCTGCTCACCGCAACCTCCGCCTCCTGAGTTCAAGCAATTCTCCTGCCTCAGCCTCCTGAGTAGCTGGGACTACAGGCATGTGCCACCATACCCAGCTAATTTTTCTATTTTTAGTAGAGACGGGGTTTCACCAGGTTGGCCAGGATGGTCTCGATCTCTTGACCTCGTGATCCACCTGCCTTGGCCTCCCAAAGTGCTGGGATGATAGGCGTGAGCCACTGCGCTCAGCCGAAATTTAAATGTACCTGGCTAGACAAGTACATAGAGCTTGGTCAGGTCATATTAATTGGTATTATTATTTTCACATAGTCTCGCTCCTGTTGCCCAGTCTGGAGTGCAGTGGAGTGATCTCAGCTCACTGCAACCTCCGCCTCCC